CTGAACAAACAAATTGCAATTGTGTAAAAAGCTCATATTTAATTAATACTGTCTCAGGAACTAATTAACAGATTCACTTGGAAATTGTCAGGAAAATAATGTATGTTTCAAGGGTAGGTGGCAAAGGGTCAGGGAGAACATGCTGTATATTTCACATGGAGAGAAGAGCTCAAAGCCAGCGATCTGGTGTAGATAAAACCCAGTCTTCACCCCTGAAATGGGGCAGCATTCTAGAAGGGACAAAGTGTGACCTCAACGTGGTCCTTGTCCTTTGGCAAAGCCAAGGTTGGACCTTACAGCATTACTGGGCAGCTCTGTGCCCACCTGAGCTTAGCTGTGCTGACCAACTTCACATTTGGTATCAAGAGCTAGAGGCCAGCCAAGCCTTGCTCTGCCTGCAAGGCAGGACAGACACTGTCTCCTGAATGGGCATCTCAGCCCACCCAGGCACCAGCCCTTGGACCCCTTGTCTTCCCAGCCATCCTTACGATCGATCTGCTCATCCATCTTCGTAACGGGGTGACCCAGGTCTCAACGTGCCCTAAGAGAGGATTTAAGGCATTGAATTTGATATTAAGGATTTCTCATCCCAGTTTAACCACTGACATCTTGGTGAGCAGAGCAGCGGACTCTGTGCCTGTGGTTCCCATCATCTGCCCATCCAGGAGGACATTCCCTAACACCTTTTGTTCCTCTGGTCCCCTGGTTACAGCATTTGTGCCTTGGGACACGGGTGATGCTGCTAGCAGAAACAGGATCTTCTCCAGTCAAAGGCACATTTGGGTCACATCCTCACACAATCAATAATCATTAAGGTTGGAAAAGATCTCTAAGACCACCCAGTCCAACCTCAACCCACCCCCACCATGCTCACTGACCACATCCCTCAGTGCCACATCTCCATGCTCCTTGCACACCTCCAGGATGTTGACTCCATCACCCCCTGGGCAGTCTGTGTCAATGCATCACCACTTTTTTGGAAAAGAAATTGTTCTTCACAACCAAGCTGAACCTCCCCTGGTACAACCTGAGGCCATTCCCTCTCATCCAACTGCTGTTACCTGGGAGAAGAAGCCAACCCCCTCCCTGACCCCCACCATTGTCTGAAGAAGAGCCTGTTGATGAGATAATTTCTGGCTTGCTTTGAAATATACACCTTTAAAGCAAAGCAAGTTACCTTGGCCTTCAGATTTAAGCACTTGCCTTCTACAGCAGCACTATCCTGCACTCCTTTGAAGAAACCACCTGAGCTAATAACATGATCACCTCCTCCGTTATCCACCCTGCGCATCTGCTGGTGCTTGTGTGCTCCTGCATTTCCTGCCTTCCTCCAGTATGCAGGGCACTGATTCCACTGCTTATCACAGCGCATGCAGCTTCCAGGCGCTGCGTTGGCTTCATTCCTACTTTCAGATCTGCTCTCATCTTTGCCACGGGTCACTCAGGTGGTGTCAAGTGTTTTCAACCGTGTCCATGAAAGCGACATTGCTACTCACCCTTCAAAGTTGTCATTCTGGACAGGGTGACTTCTGCTGCCTTGCAAATTCTAATCGCTCTGCTTGGAGTAAGCTCTGCAACCAGCCCTCCCTGCCTCCATCTCTCTCTCCAGTCTCAGATCAGTCATGAGCTCTTCTGAGATTCCTCTTCCTTTCAGTGCTCCCAGATTAAAACTGTGTCTTTCATATGTTCCATTTTTTATCCCCAGCATCCCAATGTGCGTTGGATTTTTGTCCTGTGAGTCAACTGAAAGCAACCACAGAAATCAAAGCTTCAGAACCAGCCAGTGCCAAAAATAAGAGTGCTGCCTTAGCACCCTCCCTTGTACTGCAACCTGTTGCTCACCCAATCAAGCTGCAGGCATCTCTGTCCACTGTAGGGAAGTAGGACTCAGTGATCCTTATGAGTCCCTTCCAATCTGGGATATTCTGATTCCAAAGGGAACGAGCTCAGAGGATGGCTCAGTAGTGGTGGTCACACCTGAGATTTGCACCCCAACCATAGAGAGAGTGGAGGTTGTTGCCCCCCAGCTTTCCCCAAGCTCTGTTTAATCTCTGCAGTGTATCCAATACCTTGAAAAGGGAAGGTGGGCTGCAGGCTGGCATTGGTGCCAAGGTGCTGCTGAGGATGTGCACTGACGTGGTGAGGTGCTCAGAGGGGAGGTGTAAGGCTCTGACCAGAGAAGTAGAAATCATGTCTCCCTGCAGTGCTGTCTTTAGCAGCAGAGATGCCTGTGACACGTCTGAGCCTGGGGAATTCCAGACCATTTTTTTCTTTGCTCACAACAAAATGCAGCTGCTCCAGAGACTGTTAAATGAAGTGGCTGAAGGTCTGAGTGCACCAGAAATGAGGAAACAGAGCAGAGCACAGGACAGCTTTGGCACACTGGATGGGAGAGCTGGGTCCTCTTCTCTCCTTTATTTGCATGTTTACACCAGCCCTGCTTTCCCTTAAGGAAGCAAGGCGAGTGCATGTCCTGGCCAGGCCACCATTTCTCATGTCCTGAAGAAAGTAATGCCTTTACCCTGTCCACGTGGGGACAGAAAATACTTTTCTCAAAGACTTTGCAACTACTTTATGTGCAGCAGAAGAGAGGAGCTGAGGACAGCCCACATCCAGGGGTGACAGATGTCCTAAAGCCCTAAAGCTCCAGCAGAGCTGATTTCAGCTCAGCATGAAAGCACTGCAGTGGGTGCTGCTGCGCGTGGGGACAGCAAGAGAAAACAAACAGCTTAGACTGAAATCAGAACTGTGATTTGGGATCAGTATGAATATCCCCACGGCTCTGGGATTATCTTCAGTCATAGCAGCCTGTTCCACTTTGGCCTAAATCCGACGACCTTGCCTCGAAGGCAGTTCCCTGCTCTGATGGGCAGGGGGAGCACGGATGAGGTGGGCAGGGAGGAACCCCCACTCTTGGTTTTTCCATGGGCAGACCACGCAGCCCTCTCCTGCAGCCCAGCAATGCAGTGCTGACGCACTGAGGTCTGCACATCGCAGGAGAGGAGGAATCCACAGGCTGCTGCACGGTGCACAGGTGCGTGCCAAGCACTGAACCAAGCTGCAGAGGGATCTGCTGCAGGATTTGGAGCCAGGTTGGAAAAGATCTCGAAGATCATCCGGTCTGCTGACCACCAGTAGTGCCCACGAGGCAGGAGATGCAGGGTGCAGTGTGCTGCAGTGGGGCAGGGGATGCAGGGATGGGGGACGTGGCACGGTGAGCCCACAGCATTGCGTGAGGCCGCTGCAATGCAGCCTGGCCCTGAGCAAACTGCACACAGCTGCTGCGACTGCCGGCCCTCCCGCTGGGCACCAATCTTCATCTCTTTGAAATAGGCATTAAAATACATGAGCCACACTCTCTGGCCAGGGCTCCCAGCACTGGATAATTGCTTCTTAAGTGCTTTCTAAATGCAAACTGCATGTCATTCTTACCACCGCTGCCACCTCCCCTGCACTCAGCCTTTGATCTCCTTCATGTCATGACAATATTGCAATTACCCCGTCAGTGTCCGGACGTGGTGGTGCTCCTGGTTGGAAGGCCACGAAGACCTGAGAGTTGTCCCTGAAGCGCGATGGCCAAGGCCCAGCCTGGTGAGAGATCCAGGTGAGCATTCAGGAGCTGAGGGAGAGGATTTGCTGCTGCAGATCTCAGCAAAATGACGGGCACAGACTCCTGTTGTGATGGGACAAGGGGAAATGGTTTCCAACTAAAAGAGGGGAGGTTTAGATAGGACGTAAAGAAGAAGTTTTGTGCAATAAGGGTGGTGAGGCACCGGCACAGGTTGCCTGGAGCAGTGGTGAATCCCCATCCCTGGAGACAACCAAGGTCATGCTGGACAGGCTCTGAGCACTGATGGAGCTGTGGGTGTCCCTGTTCACTGCAGGGAGGTTGGACCAGATGGCCTTTAGAGTCCCTCCCAACTCAAACCATTCTATGACTCCATGATTGTGTCTCTTCTTCCCCAGCCCAAATCTCTGCATGTCCATGAGCTGTGCTGTTCCGTGCTCATGCCTGGGGTCTGTGGCATGGAGCCAGGAGCAGGGTCCCAGTGGGCCATGTGCTGTTGGGAATTGAGGTCCCACTGGAGCAAAGCACCAAGGGGTTGTCAAGAGGTTCCTGAGCTGGCAGCATTCTCATAGAACCGTTCTCAAAGCCCAAACAAGCTGGGGAAGGCAGCCAAGGCAGTCCCGGGAGAGTCCATCCCTGCTCAGGAGCAGCAGCACGTTGGAGCCTCTTTGTTGTCTGCTGACAGTGACGGGTCCTGTGGAGGAGCTGCTGCCAGCACAGAGCTGCTGATGGGAGGCCGGTTCAGGGGCACCAAGGGTACCGTGCAGAGAATCAGTCATTGAATGGGTTGAGTTGGAAGGGACCCTAAAGGCCATTGGGTCCAATGCCCCTTGCAATGAACAGTGAATAATTAATCAGTGCTCAGAGCCCCTCCAGCCTGACCTTGGGTGTCTGCGGGGATGGGGATCCGCCACTGATCTGGTCAACCTGTGCCAGTGCCTCACCACTCATTATAAAAAACTACTTCTTTATATCCCATCTAACTCATCCATGTATGCAAAGAACAAGTGCTTTGGAGAAGTTGCATCTCCCCAGAGGACTTTCTGTGGGGATGCAGAGTTCAGCCAGCCTGGTGGAGATATCCAGAAGCACTGAGTTGGGGCAGATGTGGCATTCCTGGGAGCAAAGCCTGGTTGGTAGCTGTGGCGGCTGTGGCTTTGGTTTATTGTAAGTCATTTCTTGGTTTGGGTTCTGCAACAAGCCAGACTAAGCCAATTTAAACCCAGGATGCTGAATTAAACCCTTCCCTGCTTCCAGCCCCACAGTGCTGCCTACACCCTGCTTCCCATCTGCTGCTGATGGTGGTGTTGCACACAACCACATGCACGCTGGTGGCATCATGCTGCTCCTTGCTGTGTCCCACTCTGCCCTGGGGGGGGGGGGGGGGGGGGGGGGGGGGGGGGGGGGGAGGTCTCAGGGTCAGAGAGCCATACGGGGGCCATGTTACCCTCCAGCACACCCCCAGGTTGCACAGACATGAGTACAAACCTGCACACACTCACAGTATGAAAGCCATTCTCTGCTCCTTGTCCCCATTCATTTGCAGCCTGCCCTGCCGTGGCCATGGCAGCAGTCTGCATGTGTAGGTGGAAGAGCCACCCATTTTCAATCTGTCCCCTCATCCATCCTGCAGACAAGTAGCTGCCTGCCTGGCAGATAGCACCGGGAGGGCTGCTGCTCCCTGCCAGGGAATGCTAAAGAGCAGCCCCCATATCGATTGGCCCCGTCACTGCTTGAGGGATGGATTCATGGGAAGGGATTCTGGCATTAGCAGTCTGCGCACATGTTGGCCATACCAAAGGCCAACAAGCCCTCCATCCCTAGCAAGGACAGCAGGGTTTGGGGTTGGACTTGCACTCAGCAATGCCTGCCATACTACAGCAGAACAGAAGGATGGCTGAGGAGGTGGGAGAAGAAGAAGATGATCGTGTAACTGGAGATCCGGGTGAGCTTCGAGGTATTCCATGGCATGAAGGCTATTGGAGGATGGGTGGTGGGTGGATAAATGGATGGGTGGATGGGTGGTGGATGGATGGATGGACGGTGGAGGATGGATGAGGCCACAATGAATTTTTTCATAGGAAACACTGCTGATCTCAAAGCTGTCAGTATGAAATGGCTGGCTTGGACAACACGCCTCTTTGAAAAACAAATATGGATTCATAAGTCTCCACATTTTGAAAGTGACCGCTCTGGATGTTGTCAGAAAGCAAAAGTTCAGGATCTCTTCCTTTAGAGCTGGGCTGTGCTTTGACAGAAATGGTTTTAAGCTAAAAGACAGGAGATTTAAAGTCTGATTGTATGACTGACAGATAAGCATTGGTTCCACTTCTGGTACATTTCCCAGTACTCTGAGATGGAAAACTCCCTCACAGTTCCTCATTTTACAGCTTTCTCCCTTTTCTGCTTTTTGCTAGCAACAGCCCATGGCAGAGGAGGATTTCAAGGGCATAAAACCCCTGGGTGAGGAGAAGCTCTCCAGAAGATGCCTGGAACTGAGGACATCCAACATGAAGACACTCCAATGGGAAGCAACATGGCCCATGATCTCAGTAAGCAGGATCATGAGAGATCATAACGGCACCAATGTCTCTTTGTCACCACTTGAGGAGATGACCAATGCCCCCACGCCATGCAGTCTCCCATTGAGGCTTTAGATGGATTTCCTTCATTTTGAGCTCACCAGTGAGATCTTATCTCAGTAAAAGCAAGCAGATCGAAACAGAGCAGCCTCACCTCCCAGCGTGTGCTGCCCATTGGCCATCGTGTCTGCTGGGTCCATGCATGGCACACACATTCCCATTCCCTCCTTCCACTCCATATCACAACCCCCTGTGATGCACAGGGACACAATGCCCAAACCTTTCTGCTTGCTGATGGAATGCTGATGGAAGGTTCTGTTTCAGGGTCCCCACCCCATCCAAAAACTCAGGTGTTGGACCGAGGCTGGGAGATGCAGTCCAGCACCAGGAGCCAGGCAAGACCATGGGGAAAATGCTTCTGCTGCTGACCCACCCTGAACCTCTCTTGGAGCTGTGTGAGATCCTGAAGGCACGATGCATGACGATGCAGGAGTGTACATGATGCCACTCAAAGTCACACCTCATCAGCTCAGTTATGACTGGAATCGCTCAATCCACTAACAGCTGGTGTGGAAAAACTGCTGTGCAGAGATTTGGGGCAGGCAGGGGAAACTGGGCATGCTGGCATGGGTGGTGGGGCTGGGGGAGGGCCCTTAGTGGGCAAAGCACTGTGCTCAGCTCCCTGGGGAGGGCAGAATGGTGTCATGCAATGGGGAAGGGAAGGGGAGGGGAGGGAAAAGGGAAAAGGGAAGGGAGAAGGGAGAAGGGAAAAGGGAAGGGAGAAGGGAGAAGGGAGATGAATAACAGAGAAGACAGCACTCATCCTCAGGGCCAACATTCCTGGGCAGATACCTGTGTTGGGCTGAACTGGAGCTGGACATCAACCAAGTTTTGTCCATACTGGGAAATATTCACTAATAGGAGATGCTCATTCATCTCCATTGGTTGGTGCCCCATCCCTGCAGGCACCCAAGGTCAGGCTGGAGGGGCTCTGAGCACTGATGGAGCTGTGGGTGTCCCTGCTCATTGAAGGGGGTTGGACCTGATGGCCTTTAGGGTCCCTTCCAATTCAAACCATTCCATGACTCTATGATGTTCCTATGATTCTATGCTACAATTCTACCTGGGGCCACTGGCCACCACCCCATTGCAGCCAGCCACTGCTCCTTGGCCAAGCTAAGATGGACTTCCCTCATCATCATCAAACCAGCTCCACTAACGAGGCAGCTCCTCGTTAACACAGGCTTGCAATGCGCAGCCAGGAGGTTGGCTTGGAGGGCACGGGGACATGAGGACAACCCTGCCTTCCCCCTGAGCATCAGCCCAGCCCCGTTAATGGGAAGCTTTGAAATGACCCTTTCATTGATCCTAATGCAATCAGAGCGTGGTCTTTGTGCGGGAGCAAACTGCCTCTGCTCCCCGGAAAGGCAGCATTGTGCTGTCTCTCGCACTCCCGTATGCTAATACACCAACTCCCTGCAATTTCATTTTCAACAGGGACTAATTTAAAAGAAATGACCGGCCTGCCAGTGGACTTCAAAGATATCTTTTGATGAGTTTTAGCAGCTTCAGCGAAACTCTAATTTGAATTTCAGTGGCCGCCGTGTGATTTTCTCGGTGACAGTTAAGAGAGATGACAGCAGCAGCTCCATCTGTCATTGGAGCCTCTTCTCGTCCCTCTTTTTGGCGATTTGTTACAGAGGGGGGGAAGGAGAGAGGGGAAAAGTTGAAAGTGAGGGTGGTGGGATTTGGGCGCAGGAAGGGAAGGGCTGTGGGGTGGGCAGGGGGAAACGGCAGGTTTGGGGGAAAATAGCCAATCTGGGGCTCGTGCATCAAAATCTGTGTACGGGAAGCTGACCCTGCACATGTGGCTTCTGATCCCTTTTTGGTGGTTCAATGCATTCTGGAGAGGCAATGCAGTATCAGTGCCACAGTCAGCTTGGGGTCGTGGCCAGGAATGGGGCAGCACGTCACCTCAGACCCCACAGTCACAGATCTGAGTGCCAGGGCTGGTGAAGGACAGAGGTCAGGGCACCAGGGGAAGCCAAGCAGTGGGGCCAAGGATGGAATACTTTCACTGGCACGAGGGCTTGTCCCCTTCTTTCAGGGAGCCCAGTTGACAGGAGCTGCCTGGGGCACTGGAGCGGCTGTCAATGCCACCCTAAGTCCATGTGAGCTGATTGGGTCTCTGATGTCCTTTCCAATCTAACCACCCTATGGTTCCGTGATCTTTGAGGTCCCTCCAACCCATATATCTATAGTCCCATAGGTGCCCTGCGTGCATTACATCCTCAAAGAAAATGGCAACGCAAGGGCTGGCGTGAGGAAAACCTGCAAAAAAGGCAAAGGGAGCAGATCCCACCCTCTGCAGGGACTCAAGGCAGGCGGCGGGCTGCGGGTCCCTGCTGTTCCCTTTGTCTCTTGCAGCAAAGAGAGGGGCCGGTTGTCCCTAAGCCCATCTGACAGCGTCACCGGAGCGCTCCCGGAGCCACTCGTCACTCTGAGCCCCGCCATGAAATCGCTCCGACGTTAGGCACTTCCTAATAAAGCTGTCACAGACACCCCATTATCTCCTGGCCCAGCCCCCTGCCCTCTGTTTAACCAGATAATCCGCTTTTTAAAGATACACTTTCCTCCGGTGCCTCAGCCCTATTCACAATGCGGGTGTCTGCAGTCCTCATCCACCCTTTTGTCCCCAGCCCTGGGAAATTCCCCGTTCCCCACTGTGGCTGTGTTCTTTCCACCAGATGGGCTATGGGCTGTGCCGGGGCTGTGTGTTTGGGGTGGAAGGGACCTTAAAGATCGTCCAGCTCCAACCCCCTGCTGGGGGCTGGATGCCCTACAGGGTCTATGGGTCTCTGTGAGCTGCTAGGGTGGCTATGGGGGAGGTCTATTGGTTTCCAGGGGGGTCCTTGAGGGGCTACAGGGCAGCCACAGGGGCCTTGGGGGGGAAATATGGGGGCTATGGGGGACCTGGAGGGATGGGCTTCTAGATGGTCTGCTGCAGGGCTGAGGGGCAGCTACAGAATGGGGTACTGGGGGGGATATGGGGATCCTATGGGGAGATATGCAGTCCCATAGTGGGATTGGAAGGTGCAGATCCCCAGCTGCACCATGGTGCAGTTGTACGGATCTGGGGGGCAACATGGAGGTCAGGGAGCAGTATGGGGGAATAAGGGGCTCTGGGGGGAGGGAAGGGAGTTATCAGGGTCTTGGGGGTGAATACTGTGGACGTATGGGGCAGCTACACTAGTCCTGGGGGGTCTATGGGCAGTTATCGGTGGGTTATGGAAGTCTATAGGAAAGGGCATTATGAGACTCTATAGGTGGCTATGGGAGTCCTAGGGGGTCCTATGGAGTCCTGGTGGGTCCCATAGGTCCCCCCAGTGGGGGGGGCTGGAAGGCACAGATCCTCAGTTGCACCATGGTATGGCTGTACAGAATCAGGGGGCAATATGAGGTCAGGGGGGGCTATGGGGTCTCACAATCAGTAGCAGTCCCACCACCAGCTGCATGCAGGGGAGAAGCAGCCCTTGCTGGGTAACATTCTGCCCCAAAGCTGTCCCACAACTGCCCAGAGCTGTCCCATAATCCACGTACAATGGCCCCGTAACTGCCTATGGCTCACTATTAGTAGCAGCTCTATCACCAGCTCCATGAGGGGGAATATCAGCCCATCCTCGGTGTAGGTCTGCTCCATATCTACCCCATAACAACCCTATAGTGCCCCCATAACAACCCTATAACAGCCCAATGGGTCTGTAGCCCATGGTCAGCAGCAGTTCCAACTGCTGCAGGTGGGGGAGCATCAGCCCCTCCTAGATGAGGGTCTGCTCCATAGCTGCCCCTACAACCCTCCTACAGGTGTCCTGTAACTGCCCTAAAACCCAGAAGTTCACCCCCCAGCTCCCTATGGGGTGACAGCAGACATTACAGCTACCCTACAGCTACCCCATAAACAAATTTTGCTTGCCCCAGAAGTATCTTGCAACTGTCCCATAACTGCTCTTATAGCCCCTTACCCCACAGCTCAGACCCCATGGTGCCCACCTCATGGCTTCTATGGGGCAACTATGGGGTGCTATAGGGCAGACTCATATCTTGGAGGAATTACCTTTACCCCAAACAAAGCTGGTTATATGGCCACACTGAGGTCAAGATATGGGGTTATAGATCGTGTGAGGGTCATGCAGGGTCACAGAGTTATGGGGTTATATGAGGTTATGGAGTTACATGGGTTTATGGGGTCAGATGGGGTTATGGGTCACAGTTATAGGGTATTACGGAACGACGGGGTTACATGACATGGCCAGAGGTGACATGGGACCAGAGGTCACAGAGTTATAGGGTGTTCAGGGGGCATCAGTGGGGTTATGGGTCACATGGGATTGTACAGGGTTATAGGGTCATATCAGTTTATGGGTCATGTGATCAGCACCCCACCTTTGGGCTACAGGGACATCCAATCTCCTCTCAGTAATAAATCAATAAAGACACTTCAACACCACCCCACATCCCCCGTTTACCCTAAATTGCTTCCCACATCCCCCCATAATCACCCATGTTGTCATACCCCCCCATCTTCCATCTTCTCCTCCTTGGTGCCTCTTCCTTGGGGATATCCAAACCCACCCAGACATGGGGTGGGCACAGCTCTGGCAAAGGGGAAACAGGAGGGAATAGGGAAAATGGGGTGGGGGGGTTGGGAATACTAGGGATTTGGGGGAGGAAATGGGGGAAACTGGAAGAATAAGGTGAATGGGGATACTGCCAACCCATCCCAACATGCCCACTGCCCACATCATGGAACCACAGAACCATTAAGGTTGGAACAGATACCTGAGATCACCCATTCCAACCCCAACCCATTCCACCATGTTGGCTGACCATGTCATGCCATAGAAGCACAGGATGACGAAGGCTATAGGAGGGTTGGGACAGGCTCAGACCAACAAAGGACAATATTTTGGGATCTGCATTTGGGATTTCAGCAGAATTCACCGCTCTCAAAGTTCACTCCTGTGCCGTCGAATCAAAGCATGCTGCTATAAATCATTAATGCACTCCCGCGTCGCGACGAGGCCAGAACGTTTTAATTGCTGAATAATGAAGCTAACGCTCACAAATCTCAACTGCCTCCTTCTGCAGGAGAGGAGAGCTTGAGACTGGACAGGACCTATGGCTGGGGGGCCACCAGGAGGTTTGTTGCAGTGTTTGTGTGAGCAGCAAAGGATGATCACCTCTGGAGCATGGGACCAAAGAGAAGACCCCGAGCACGCTGGACCAGTATGGCTAATCCTATTCCTCATTGATTTTCCTGAAGGATGCTCAGGGAGAAGCTGGGTGTATGCAGCTGGACTCTCATTATACTAATGCCCCAGCCTGGGTGAGGGCCTCAAATGGATACAGCAATGGTAACACTCTCTCCCTCTCCTCCAGAGCTGAAGTCAAGCCATACCAACCACGCAAAGCCCCAACCTTGCACCCAAGGCCCCACCAGAAGCATTGTTCCTTCCACATTTGTTTGTTTGGACTTCTAATAAAACCCTGACAGCATCCCATGCTTGGGGGAGTGCAGAATCTCACAACCTACCTTGGCTGTGTGCAAGGACAGCAGCACTGTGTGTGTTTAACAGCCCCACAGAGATGTGGCAGATAGCAGAGGATTATCTGTGTTAGCCAGGGAGAGAGGAGCTGCAGAGGGATCTCACTGCTAACAGAAACCCATCTTGCTGCAAGGGAAACGTCGTGTTGATAAATGGAAGCTTGCGTGCGCCGCAGGGATCCCCTGACCTACTCCTGTGTACAGCCAAATCCACTGTGATCTGTAAGCAGGCTGGAAAAAGTTCCCATGTCACCAGACTAAATAACAGCAGCCGGGGGATGCTCTGAGAGCAAACGACGTCGGGTTCAATGTGCAGCGGGTGAATGTGCCAAGGAGAGCAGTGCTGTGGAGTGGTGGCATATGGCCACGGCTTCCGTGGGCAAAAAATAGGCGGATTTGCATGTCAGGGAGAAGCATGGTCATGCCTGACAGCAGGTTGGGCACTGCTAGAGGGGCAGGGATTATCTCTGCAGGCAGCTGGAATCCCACAGCACAGCTCTGCTCACCTGACTGCAGCCAGGAGGAGAGCAAGCTCCGTCTCTTGGAGGACACCTCCATCTCTCACAACAAGCTGAGGGGTGAAGCTCCCATGTACCTGAAAAATAAGAAAAATAACATATTTATTGGCATCTATTTCATGTTCATAAGGGGATGCACACCACACCATCCCACCTGCCCCACCCGTTGTTTACAAAGGCTCTGGGAAGCACAGAGAACCCCAGAGCAGGCTTCATGACAAATACTGTGTGACCCATGGGTGCTCTCCAGCCCTGTTCCCTTTCAAAACAGTGATCCAGTGGTGGTACACCATGCCTGCATGCCTCGTAAGTGCTAGCTCAGTTCACCAGGTTTGCCTGAGCCTGATTAGAAGGCAGGATGCATTTCCTGCTTGGAGGAATCACAAATGGAGCAGGAGAGGCAAAGTGGAAGCCGTGTGCTACAGTCTGGCTGGAGATGCAAGAGAAGCAATTACTGCTTTAACTCAGGGCATGAGGAAGCACTGGGACTCTCAGCAACAAGGCAGTGGACTGCAGGCGGATTAGAGGCATTAAGTGCTGCTGGAGAGGTGACCGAGCCCTCTCCATTAGCCAGCCAACCCCTTCATTACAAAAGGTTACCGAGCCCATCTCCCACAGACTCACTGCTCTCTGCAACTGATATTCAGTGCTCCTGCCACCACCACCCCTTGTTCCTGGGCAGGGCAGTGGTACCACATCGCAGATGGGCTGCGTGTTAAAAATAATAAATAAAGAAGCTAATCCCAGAACACAGGATTTGCACACTGGGGGCTGTGCCACACTGCGGCACCCCGTCTGCTTCCCAATGCTCTGCAGTGCTCGGGGTGGGCACTGGGTTGGGACAGTGGTGCAGAAAGCAGGTGCCAACTTAACCCTAAGTGTTACCAATTAACACATGAGGATGAACAAACCCACCTCCCTCATTAATTGGTGTGGTTGAAGAACCATTGGATGGTGCTATCCAGGGTGACCTCATGCTCCAGCCCGACCTAAGTGCAGGGTGCCAGACTCACTGCTTCACCCCAGCAGCATCTGTGTTTTAGCCCCTCCAGCTCCAAGCTCTTCTTTATGCAGCGATTCGCAGGGCCTGGGGCTGAACTTCAGCCTGGCAGGAGCTGATGGAGCACAGTGCAGCAGGGCTGGCTCTCGGCGGAGCAGACACCTGTCCGCTGGCACTACTCAAGACCTTGAGCACCATCTCCTGGTCATTCCTGATTTCAGTGGGAGTGACACTTCCTCCTTTCCGCTGTCACAGCAAAGCCCTGGGGACAAACCACATTCCTTGCTGTTTGCTTCCACAATTCGAGCTGGAACGGGAATGACCAACTATCACGCTGTCACAAAAACCTCCTGGAAAACTTCAATCTGTTCACCCTCTGGGCTGTGTGATGAAGCAGGCGCTGCTCACCGCAGGGCTGTGGCAGGGATCACCGCTCCGTATGTAAATATTGCAGTGGCAGAGTTCAACCTTTTGGCACTAGGGAAAGGAAGATAAATGCTACCGGTCCCCTCCGAGCCGCAGGAACTCTGCATCTATCTAATTGCACTTCATAATGGATTCAGCAAACCATTAATTATCAGATTATATTTTAGGAAACTGCAGATTAAAAAAAAGAAAAAAGACTTGATGAAATTTAGTCTTAAAGGGGCCACAATGAATGTTGCATTCTCCCAGCACCAAAGAAGCTTTACAGCAGGTACATGAATGCATTCTGCAAAGCAACATCCCATGTTCTGCTCTGAGACACAAATAACTTTGTTAGTGCCTTATGAATGTCTACAAACCTGTTCAGTCTTTGCTGCACATCATTTCTTTTGTCAGGGTCAGATATATGGGGTTGCTTTCCCAAAAATACAAATAAACATCCCAAATCTGAACCTCCCTTGTCAGAGAAGCATGCCCAGGTATGGTCCAGAACCAGTCCAGTGCACACCAGGTGCCACACATGAGCACCCACTGCTCACTATCACTTGGTTTCTTCACAAATCAGAGTAACTTTGTCATCAAACAAATCCTCCATAGACACCGTCACCAGCTCCGAACCAGCTTGGCTTGCTTGGGATTCAGGCAACGTCACAAAGACTTGGGAGCCAGTGAGCTGGGCCTCATCAAAAGAGATGATGTGTTCTGCTGCTCCTTGCTCTGACGTCTGAATCACCTGTGTGCAAGATGAACTGAGTCAGACACTGCACTGCTTTCCTTGTGGTCGCTTTGCTATGCACATCTTTCCCAGCCCAGCTCATGTAGTAACATTCAGCTTCACACCAGAGGACTGCAATTACAATAAGCTTGAGGCTAATAGTAAACTCCAAAGCTCCAAATATCAGTGATGCAAAAGAGAAAATGGAAGAACCATTTAAATATTTACCTCCATAAAATTGCTATAATTTAGCTCCATAAGCAGTCATAGACGATAAAGATACTATGATTACACACTAGAGGAATGGCAGCCCAGGGAATCCCACATACTGGGCTCCTTCATGCAAGGAGCTAATCTCCACTGATGGCTGAAATATTACATTTGTCACTGGGAGTTGCAGTCTGCAAGAAAGAAAGCATGGAGGGGAAGGAATGAATGATGGTGGTGGGTTGAGATCTTTTCCCTACCCAACTCAGACTGCAAGTGTTGCAGCATCTTCTCTGAGCCTTCCTGCAAGCCAGCCTTGCACTAGCATAGAGCACTCTAACCCTAGAGCACCCTGGGCTTAGAGGATTATGTCCTGGATGCCTCTAATCAAGAGTGCAGAAAGAGGTAATCACAAAGTGGATTTGGGAAAGAACAAGAGGGTTGAAAGGGGAGGGCTGCAAAACACAGCAGTCTCTACCTGTACAACCTGGGCTGTGGTGGCTTGGGCCTCTGTGAAGATGACCTTGGGATGCTCAGCGCTGCAGTGCCCTTCCAGCTCACCCTGGGAGGTGAAGAGCTCCCCACAGAGCCCACACGTGAAGGTGCTCTCTGCCTGCTTGAAGTGCTCAGTGGTGACGTGGTGCTGCAGGGCCCCTGGAAAGCAGAAGGAGGCTGAGCAGTACAAGCATGAAATGGCTCTGACCCTGGGGAAGATGCATCACTCTGAGCCTGGGGTGCAATGGCCAGGGCCAGCCTGAGGGCACAGGGAGCTGCAAATGACCAAGATGTACAGGGTTGAAACCCACTGGGGACTTACTGCATGGGTTCAGTTCCTTGTTTCCGCATGCTGATATCTCTTAACCTGTACTTAGCTCTCTTAACTCTCTGTCCAGTACTACAGGACACCACCTAAACACCAAGTAATGTGAGTAACAGCAGAGGTAACACACCTGAGTGCTGGTACTTCATGTGGACCTGCAGGAGAGCCAGTGTGGGAAACTGCTCCTTGCACATCTCACAGTCATGGAACTTCACATCTGCAAACAAGATCATGAAGAGAAAAGTGTGCACCAAAGGTCTTCTACAAGAGACAGTGCTTCTGGACGACGGCTTTGTTAACACTTCAGCAACACATCTGCATACAGATAGAGGGAGCACCTTTGGAGACAAGGCAGGGGAAGAAGAAGCCAAGAGCAGCTGAGCTGCAAGTTGCTGAGATGAAACTTGCCCCTCCTACGGGATACAGAGAATTTGCAAGTAAACATAATGCATAAACTTGTCCTGTAAGAATTATTGCTACCTCTCTGCCAGCAGTCAGCACATGCTGTTGCTGGCTAAGAAATGGGCTGTTACCTGAGTGCTCTGCCTTTACATGCCTTCGGTGAGCAGCAGTGCTGGAAAAGGTTTTGTCACAGGAGCTGCACTGCAAGGAAGAGAACTTGGAGGAGCGGTGATTCTGAGCTGCAAAGACATCAGGATGGTGGGTCCGGTTGTGATACCATAACCCTGACAACTGCTGCAATGATAAGGACCAAATTGTGGTTACAACCCAAAGCTGCTCCAGGAGTATTAAGACAGCAAGAAGCTGTGCGTGGAAAGCAACAGTAAGAGCAGGACTGTACTCAGCTGATACAAGTCACCAGTCAGACCCACACATCTTCCCACAGGACAACAGCCAACACCACATTTCTTCTCCATTACCCCCTGAAGAGCTGAACACTGCAGAATCCCTTGTCCCCATTTCACTACTCACTGCAGGTCTCCTTTCGAATTTCTGTTGCCTTGTAAGAATGTGCTCCCACACACACTCCCACTGTAGCATGCCATTCGCCATACGAGTATTTTTATTCCTATAGTTCTTGGTAGTTAGAAATTTAGGTGAAATAGATTTCTGAGGGTCTGGACAGGCAAGTACACAGTCCTCCTGCAATCACAGCCAATCTGTCTCCATGGACCTGCCTTCTCCCTATAGTTTCTGCCTCCTATGTGCAACTTTTTCCTCTACTGATGACACTCAGTGCACATGGCCAGGGGAGATGTCCTCATGCAGTAACAGGCAACAGCAATCTCCAGCACACCAGGCTAAATCCTTGCTGCCCTAGCTCACCTGGTAAGCTTTGTTGCAGATGCCACAGCTGAAGGGCTTTCCTCCAATGTGGGTCACCATGTGGCGCTCCAGGAGGGATGGGGCACTGAAGACTTTGGAGCAGTCGGGGCAGGGGTGGTACTCTCGGGAGTGGACTTCGTGGATGTGCTTGCGGTGTTCCTGCAGGGTGGCAAAGCTCATCCGGCACTTCCTGCAGTCGTAGGGATCTTCAATGTCTGGTGCCCAGGAATGCCACAAAGATGGAGGAGATTAAGAATGCAATGAAAAAAGAAATGAATTCAGAAGAGAATTCATAGAATGGCGAAAGAGAAGGGAAAAAGTGTTTGTTAGTTCTCAGGTGAAAAATAACACTTAGGTTTTGGCCTTGCATGCACCTAAAGCTTCCCATGTTGAATTCCCAGCAGCCCATAGCCTGCTGGAAGCCAGCTCTGATGTTTTCTTTCAGACAACACTATTCATAGCACCCAAACATGAAATACCAAGCCAGTCTGGAAACTAGCAATGCCTGCACGTGTGTCCACCGGCCACAGCCATGCAGAAGCCATGCCTTGCAGGCTGGGCTGCCCAGAACTGGGGAGACAGCTGGTCACACTCACTGTGAAAGGACCGGAGGTGGATGGAGAGCCCATTGGCCTGGCGAAAGCCCTTCCCACACTCCCGGCAGACGTACGGCTTGTCCCCTGTGTGGGTTCGAACATGGCGTGAGAGCTCGATGGACTGGGCAAACACAGCGTCGCAGTACTGGCAGGCATACATCTTCCCTGCAGGAATAGGATAAAGGGGAATGCCTTTAAACTAAAACAAGGATTTAGGTCAGCTTTGAAGAGAAACTTTCACTGAAGAGAGCAGCGAGGCCCTGGCACTACTGTTCAGGTGCCCCATCCCTGCAGGTGCTCAAGGACCTGGGGAACCTGATCTGCTGGGGGGCAACCAGCCCATGGGATAGGCTTTAAGGTCCCTACCAACCCAAGCCATTCTGATTCTGCAAGACTGCAAACTACACAGGCTTTCCTGGGGTAGTCTATTCAATACTAAGTTGAAAAGGTCCTAGAGGAAATCACGCCTGCACAAGGAGTATTCAATTAGCAGAGACCTCAAGTGTCTGGAGGTATTATACACGTTGGTGTGTCTCACATTCAAAACTAATTGCCCAAGTGCATGGCACTCATGCAACATTGTAACGCCTGAGCATATTAATTACAAACACAGTGACACATCCTCTGCAGTCATGAGCTGAAATGGGCATGGCTAAGCCCTGCCTGTGGAAGGGGCTGAGTGTAGGAGCTGATGTGAAACATTATATGAAATTCAGCCAGAGGGAGTGATGGGAGAAGGCAGGAGGTCCTGAGGGAGGCAGCCACACTGCAGGAATTTAGATACGAAGGGACAGAGCAGAGCTACCCAGTAGAAAAACAAGAGAAAGAGGAAGATCCCTTTAACAAGAGGCAAGCCTCTAACATGGAGAAGATAGAATGGAGCAGAGTGCTGGGACTGAGAAGAGTCAGCAGCTGAAACCACACAAGTGAAGGAGAACTGAGAGCAGCTTGCTGCCTGGGCTCTCCCAAAACATGCACAGACCAGGAAAGAGGCCAGCAGCAAGGAGGCAGATGAAGAAGCATGGCAGAAAGAAGTGGATGGGGCAAGCCAAGCCTCACACCCCAACTAGGGATGGGCTCCTGTGGAGAAGACTTACCCTCAGAATGCTTTTTCTTGGTGTGATAGGCGAGGGCTGAGGCCTGCATGAAGGTCATCAGGCAGTGCTTGCACACAAAGGGCCGGTCCCCGGTGTGCAACCGCAGGTGATTCTTCAGCGTGGAGTTGGCTGCAAACTTGGCCCCACATTTCTCACAGGAGAAGGGCTTTTCGTCAAAATGCTCTGTCAGCTTGTGATACTGCATCCCTGGTGACAAGAGGAAGACAAGAGGTGGACCAGTGCAACATTAGTGTTCATCAACCCAGTGCCAGCTCCCACAGCCCTGCCAGAAGCACCTCCTGCTGTTTCACTCATCCCAACAGACACAGGGCACTGAGAGCTGGCCACGGGGAGGGCTGGGAGCTTGCACACCTCTTGCTGGCCCTGCTAAGCCAGCCGCAGGGCTGGAACAGCTCAATTATTTTTAGAGGCTTTTAAATTCACCAGTAGCCCCACTTTTCCTTGATGAGCCATGTGGAAAACCAATTAGGGAAGAACTAATCAGAAAGCAGTTGTGCTCAGTAGGGCAGGAGAAACAAGCTGAGCTGCATTTCCCACACATGGCACTCACAGAGCTGCGGGGAGGAGGAGAAGATTACAGATTATCATTTTGTTATGTCATCCAGGTTTCCCCGGTGTGTGCACAGGGCCCTAAAACAAACACCCCTTTCCTCCCTGCTATCATCAACTCTACCTGAAGCATGAGCAAACTCTCTGCCACAGATGTCACAAGTCACAGGAAGACGCTTCTTCTTCTTCTTGGACATGCCCACCTCTCCATGGACCTCCAGCTGATGCTTCTCCAGCTCCTTCTTTGTCGATTTGACTTCAGTGCATTCCTTACACTGGATTTGCTTTCCTCTGGCCACCCGACAACGTTTCATGTGCACCTTCAGGCGGCAGTAGAAGTGGAAGCTCTTCTCACAGGCTTTGCAGATGAAATCCCTCTTGGAAGATGCCTTCTCTTGCGGTTCCTTCGGTTCCTTGATTGCAGCACCTCCTGCCTTGTCCTCTTCTTTGTCCAGAGCTTCCACTTGGGATTCACTGTTCACTTTCCACTTCCTGATTCCAGGTTTCTCTCCACTTCCCTCAGTCAAGAGCCCTGTGTAAAAAGCAGCTCCTGCTTGAGAGGTGACCAGGCCTGAGTACCAAACCCCTGGTCTCCCATCTCCTGAACACTCCTACACAGCAAGTCATCCCTATGGGGCAAGAATGCACATGCAAGAGATGCTCAGGGGACATGCTGTCCAACACAGCAGTGGTTCACAGCTCTGCCCAAACGTGGTCATGGTAACCCATGGTACGAGGCATGGAGTAACCCCTGAATTCCACACACGTGTACCAGGGGTTCAATTAGATGTCAGAGCAACAGCCACATTTTTCAAAGAGCTCATTCTTCCCCTGGCAAGAACAGAAATAACTGTTGTTTCTAAGAGTCTGCCACCAGCTCAGACACGTGATGTTGGGCTCGTGCTGAAATGTTTGAAGATCTGAGCCTCGGGTATGATGTTGTGCCACTGGGTCAGGCATTGACAGTGGATATCTAGCCACTAAAATCATAAGAAATCTCAGGAATACTTTCCAAACACAAACTCTTTTAAAGAGAACACACAGTCTTGCTACAATCCTTTCAAGTCTTCTGGTTAGGGCCCTGGGGTATTTTAAGTCACTCATTACATTCATTTCTTTAAAAGTCTAATGCTTTTCCAAGTCCCTGTAATGTCATCATTTCGAAAAGCACAAGGTTCCCAATCTACAGAAAAGATCCACATGGAATACACATATGGAAGAAATCAAAATACAAACAGATATATTTGGCTCCTTTGTTATAATGAGAACCATGCAATTCTGTGGTCATGGAAACCACTGCAGAGTTATTTTGCCAATGCACAGGAAATTCAGCCCATATTTGCAAAACTTCATTGCTGCCCTCCTCATTACGGGAAGAGCTCAGCAAAATTTTCTCCCTGCACAGTGATATAAGCCCAAATTTCCAACCAACCAGAAACCAGTTGACATATTCCAATGGACACCAACTCAGAAATGTTAAGATGTCAAGTGGTGACCCATCAGCCCCTGAATATGTCAAGGGAATAAAACAGACTGTAAGACTGTTGTGCAGTTTGTCCTCCTCTGTCAAGACAGCAATACACACTCTTCACCCCTAAGGTCTCTTCCCTCATCCCTATAACCAACACTGACAGTTTTTTCTGATTTAAGCAAACAAGAATCTTGAAATGTTGAACATCAGAAAGGGATGAATGTGGATGAAGATATGCATGCTAAAGAAGCCAGAAATTGATATGCCTGGAAATGCCACAGCGGCAGGAGCATAGTCTGAATGAGACAAAAGAGAGCAAGTTTGCCATAGACTCTATTGGGCCAAGTGCTAGCTTATGGTGCTCTGGCTCTTAAGCCTGCGATAGTGCTGCTCAGGATCTCAGGGATGGACAGTCCAGAGTATTTCAAGAACTAATCAGGATACAGATGTGCTGGAATATGGCTCTGGGAGAGGTACAGGTAAGTGTTCAGCCTACACAACAGCAGAAGATTATGTTATAAAGGCAGGGAGAGCTCACCTTCATGGTGAAAAACATCAAGGATTGACCCTCTGTATCTGCAGGGTGATGCTACCACCACCAGAGAGCTGTTCTGAATGAAAGCTGAAGCAGATCATGTGTAATCAATGAGTAGGTACAAACACCCAGTATTCCTGTGCCAGTATAACACACACTTCTTGGATGGTAGGTCTGTATACATCAGAAATGCCTCAGGCAGGAATTGCTGACTGTGGAGTCCTCCAGGACTTCATTCTGCTTTGTGTTCTCTCATGGCAAAAACACCAGTACTGGAAGAAAAGCCCTGCTGGTAATTATGGTGCATCTCCTTATGAGTTCTCTTTCTCTTTTATAAGCTTTCTGATAAGCTGATAATCCCGGTGGCTGCTCTACTCCACCTGCAATTCATGGCAGATACCAGACTCCAGAAGCAAAAAATTCTTTATGCACGGCCATTTGTCTCCCACTTCTTCAAGCTGGAATAAAATTCCACTTAATTTTTTGCATCTATCCTGTGTCAGTAAGCACCTGATGGTCATTACAATGGTTGCTGACAAGCAAAACGAGCAAAACCTTTACAGGAGAGAATAAAGTTTTGCTTGCAGACTCTTGGATTCCAGGAGCTGTTTCAGGTCTACATTAAATCTCAATTGTGTTTTTTAAACTCAAGACTATGCAGAGGAAAACTTCATTATCTCGAGTTCTTGACACATTTCTGAAATTTGAAAATAAGGCATACCTTGACAAATAAGGTCTTCCAAGAAGTTACTCTAAAAAGTCCTGGAAAGCAGCTCAATAGTGAAGTTATAGTTAAGACAGCTAAATCTTGTCTTTGCAAGCATCAGCTGAAGCATTAAGAGTGCTCCACCTACAGAAGTGGGAAAAACCAATAGACTTTATATCATACCTCCATCAGAGAAACTAACTTGTTATTTTGATGATGTTGAATGAGGTTGAGCATGGATGCAGATTCCTCCACAGGAAGTCCTGTTGCTTACCAAGTTGCTCAGCTCAGGTATCAGAGATATCTCTTCTTTCTTTTTGTGGCAAAGATGTAAAAAAGATAGCTTTCCAATGGAAATGCTCGAAGAAGTACATACAATTTGCATGTATGTTCTTCAGAAACGTAAGATTTTCTCTGTTTTAAGCAGAAGCTCACATTCCTCAAACATGAGGCCCTCAGTTATCATTCATGTTTCATGCTGAGAGCCAAATGGCTACTGATCCAGAACGCCACCTGCAACACTCAGGGCTGTTAAGCTGTGATATCAGAGCTGAGGAGATCAGTCTTAAAATTAAGACATGGAATGTCAAAGCAAAGATCATTAGATGCCAAAAAGAGACCAGTGACTGGCAATTCTCCTTGGATCGATTCATACAAAATACATGTTTTTGCCAAGCAGATACCATTTTTCCAGTCCTTTTGTTTTTGATGTTGTTTCTTGCTTGCTTATGTCCCAGCCTCTCCTTGGCTTGAAGCCCTGCAAGACGCTCAGTAACAGCAGTCTGTTCTCTTTGATATTGGTGCCAGAGAAGCAGGCATCTGTCAGAGTAATTTAGCTGACTCCCCAAGTCCCTCATTGGTAAGCACTGCAAGGTGTCCAGCAGCTAAGGTGGACTGCACCTTCAAAGACACGTGTGTTTTCTGTTGGCCTACCTCTTCTAGAGCCACCAGGGCATCAGTCCCAGTACATCCCACAGTCAGTTAGGGTTAAGGCAAGTGAAGCAAGTGACTGGAACTTCAGCAGGGGACAGAGAAGGAATGGCAGATGAGAAGGAATCACCTTTCTTCTGGAAATCCTCATCAGAGCCATGACCAGACAAAAAGGCCAGCTGGATTGGCAGCAGTTCTTACAGAGTTTTAAGAGGGGAAAACTAGATTTGAACTGGGTATGAATACTGAATATACAGCACAGGACATTTCACAGGGAGACCATTTATGCTAAGGGAGTCCTATAAGCAGTCCTTGATTCCTTCTATGCATGCATCCAAACCCATCTACCACCCTAACAGCTTTTTCCTATTGCTCACAGAGGCAGGCTGATGAATGGCCACTCTCTCTCTGCCCCTTCCTGGCATACAGGGAACATTTGCTTTGCTTGTCACTGACAAACATGAAACAATGGCAAATGGCAAAGCCAGTAGGCTGGTGTTCATGCATCCAGCTATGGTCCTGACCCAAATTTTCAAACCAATTTCCCTTACAACAAGGCAAGATACTAATAACAGGCTGCTTACTCTAACTAGCCAGCAATCTGTGAGTATTTCCATGCTGTGTCTATGCTAAGCAGCTCTGGCACCACAAGTAAATGGAGATGGACTGAGCTGAATCAGCATCCGTGCTCAGATAAAAAACACATTGTGTACATCCCATCGGACTGTGCAGCCCAAAACATCTGTACTTGGATGCACTGGGAAATGTGGTGACATAAAAACATATGTGAGACGACAGAAGAAGCAAGCCACATTTGCATCCTTTTCAAGAGAATGCAAACCTGCAGTTGCCTTTCTGGCTCTCTGTTATCTTTTTCATTAAAGCACCAAATCCTGTTAAGCATTTTTCCTTCAAATGATGGATGCAGAGACACAATTCAGCTCAGCTGGAAATAATTCCATAGCTCAGAGCAGGGTCTCATACACCATTATTGATATGCATTTGTTTCTGAAGTTCAGGAAATTGCTATCTGCATATGCTCCACTCGTACCTTTGTCAAACTGCTACAGTACATAACACTCACCTACTGCTGTGGGACTCTCCTGTGGGATCATTTGCTCTGGAAAATGTACATATAGCAAAACCAAATTAAGGCACAGTAAGACAATTAACTCAGGGAATAGTCTGGGACTACAAAGTGCACCATCACTGTCATCTTTTCATGAGACAAGTGCACTCGGATGTGAGCTTTTCACAATCAGCCTGTGAAGTATCTGCACATACAGCAAGTCAGCACATTATAGCACCAGGACACTGCTGTCTGCTACCACTCAAACTCGCCAAAACTCACAGTGCTATATGTAACCCACTGCAGAAAGATGAAAGTCTGTTCATTCCTTACCCACATGCCCTAGCTCCTGCATCACTGGCTGCAAGTCTGGGAAAGACTCATGGACATTGCACAGCAGCTGACAGATCTTGATGGCTGGAACAGACTTCTCCTGTGCCGTACTCAAAGCTGCTTTCAAGGAGGCCTCTGAGCTTTCCTTTTGAGCAGAAATACTCAGTAGCTAGAGAAGTAAAAAGAAGAAAACATCACGAGACAGAAAATCTGGGCTGTCAAGGGTCAGGATGGTCTGGGAATGAGGGCAGTTTCCCTTTTTCTGTTTCATCTTTACTTTTGGGAAGCTTCTCAGAGAAATGAGGGGAAAAAATTATCTTTCCAAACAAGTCTTTGTCCTTCCACTGATGTATGAGCATGAGCAGAGAGAATTTCTGGTCTAAAACAAGTTACAATAAATCAATTCTCAGACTTTCTGATTTGGCATTAGCTTACTTAAAACCACCTCCATCAAAAGAGAGGTTTCTCAATGCCTTACAGCACTGAGTTTACCCAGTATGTAAATCTGTCTTTCATGCATAACTTTCTCTAGAATGCAAACTGTGCTGGTTCCAAAGGGGGGTATGCACTGCACCCCTTCGTACCTCTTTCACTGCTTCTGTGAGTCCTGCTTCCCCTGGAGCCAAGCCCTCCATGTTTGCTCTCTGCTTAATGGCCTCTGAGATGAGCTCACTGTGCCGCAGGATGATTTCGATGGCTGTGCTTTCACTGGTGGCAACTGAAGAGGAAAATAAAAAGTATGTAAAAACCCAATATGAAAAACTCAATATGCAAGGAGAACCTAAACGTAGCTTTGCTTAGCTAAAGGTGATCTGTTAACAGCAGGAGCTGTTCCAGGCAAACTTTGGTTACCTTCACTGCCTCACAGACATCCAGCCTAAAACACAGCAATCTGGCAGACCTCACTTCTCAGTGTTTGTACAACACTGAGTGAGAAGATCAGGTTTTCCAAAGCACATTATTGAATGAGATGCTAACAATTTCAAAAAACAAGCACAACTGTCCCAACACACAGGATTTCTTTTCTCCCCTAGTTCGAGATATCCCATTTTGCAGAGTGATGCCTCATTCAAGGATATCACATAAAAAGGAGTCACATGCATCATGCACCAGAAGTGCTGATTTCTCTACATTGAGCACAGAGACAACAGAGTTGTCAGATGTAGATAGCTATCCTACAGACATTTGACCATGGGCAAGTGAACCTCAGCTTCATGTACAGACACATGCACAGCCTCCTCCCTCTCATTCATCCCAAATCCATTAATTTTCATGAGATTTCAGCAATTGTGCAGGGAGGGAGGAGCACGGGTTATGTTTTCAAGTAGGAAAATGCAATGACAGATTCCCACAGCTGGCAGGGAAACTCAAAGCCAGAGGCCAGAGCTCTTGGGAGGACAGGGGAGAGGCTGCACACAACCTCCAGTTTAACCCATGTTTTCAGTCTGACGTGCCTTCAGCTGCTTTTTAGCACACAGTGGCAGCCAGCTCTCAAAAGGTTTGCTCACAACAAAACCTTATAGCCCTTGTAACACACAGAGCCACAAACAAAGTAGTGGCATTTGTGGATGGAAGTGTTTTTCCAGCATATAACCAATTGACTATTTCAAAAGAGACACGAGCTTTTGACACACACTGGAAAAAAAGTATTTCCAGACACCAAAGGAAGGAGTGTGAAAGGGTCTGTGAAAGTTGCAGCAGAGGGGAGGAAGTAGTTAGAAAGTACATTCTGCCAGCAGCGGGAAAAGTGCAGAGGAGACTGAGGCCATTACCTGCTTGGAAGAAAAGCTCTGCGCCCGGTTCTTTCTGGATCTCCTCCATGAGCATGTTCAGCGGCAGCTCGGCCTCTCGCACAGCCAGCAGCAGCTGCCAGACCACAGAAACAGACAGAGACTGCTCCTCCAGCGCCGCAGACACGAGTGAGATGAAGCCACCTGAGCCGGTCTCACACTTCACAATCTGTTCCATTGCCTTCAAAAGATTGTCAGTGAGGTGCTAACGAGTGACTTCATCCATCTGCCCAGCACGGCCCTAGCCAAGGCCATGGTTCATCCCAGCCCCAGCCTTCCCTTACTCCTGCCCTGCTTGAGACCTGGCTCACAATACAAGCCAAGCAACAACCACTTCAAAGCCCAACCTTTTGCTGAAACGCATTGGACATTTCCTTGCTTCATCTCTCCTCAGTCCCCAGATCAGCCATTCTTCCTCACCCATCTTCACCTTCCTGCACACAACTGCTTCATTCCCATTATCTGATACTAAGGAGGAATCTTTAAATTGAATCCTGCCGGAGAACTGCCCCAAAACCAAGCCATGACAACCAGTAAATCAAGTCCTTGTGACACCTTGCTTTCAGTATCAGCTTTAACACACAGACAGGAGACTGCTTACCTCTCTGTCAGCAGGAGCCAGGCTCTGTGCAGCAGAAATGCCACGCAGCAGTGTCTGAGTGTCCATGAGGTGCTCCACTAACCTTTCTTGGTATCGTCTCAGCAGTTGGGCTCCATAATCCTCCAAACTCCATTTGGCTGAAAGCAAGTGAAGGAATAAGAACAGCTCAACCACAGCATCTTCCCAAAGGGCTTCAAGAGCTACCGAGAGTTTGAAAACACCAAGGTTGCCAGATCTCCCTTGTTGTAGGATGACTTGGGCTAGAAGGGACCTCAAAGATCATCTTGTTCCAAGACATTTGCCACAGGCAGGGCTGCCAACCACTTACTCTCAGGACATTTGGTTTCACCTTTGTTTACAGCCATGTAGGGTGGGTAAATGTGTGGTTTTGTATGTCAAGACAACACCTCATGTTTTTCAGTCTATTCTGATGTCCTGCTATCAAGAAGTTCCCAATAACTCCTAACTTCAGTTTCATTGAAAGCAGTTTTTAATTGAGTCTTAGATCCACTCCACCATGAAGGAGCTCTGCAGCACACTCTGTCTCAGCGGTGTGCAACTATCAAACACAGCAACATTTTGCAAACACCCATATGGTTCAACATAATCAAGAACTGAGTGGGCTGAGTTGTCTTTGGTGAAAATGTTAAGAGAACACAAACCAGACTTGGGATTGCAAAATAGCAGTAACACCCTCTTCTCTCTTATGCACAAAAAAATACAACTTTAGCCTAATTTGTTCCTCATATATCTGATTCCAGACTTGACCTGATGAATCTGAGACACAGTAACTCCAGAGTAACAGCACAGTTCTTAGTAGACATCACAGTAGCAGAACACAATGAACTAACTCAAGGAAGAGGACTAGCCTTCACCCAGGGTAATGGAAAGATTTGGGACAATATGCTGTGTACCCAAAATAATCTATGATTGTACTCATCCCCAGACTAGTTGATAAATAAAACTGGGAACTGCCAAACAGATGAACCTGAAAGCCTGAAAGGTTTTGGTTTTTTTTTTTTTTTTCCCCCACTGTTGGAGTTACAGAATTGGAGGTGAAGATGCATAGTTACACTTTTGTAAGAGAAACAAAAATAAAAAGCTGTAGTTCATCCAGGACATCTGTGCATGTTTTTTTTCGTTTGCGTGCTTAGGTTTTTAAATCATTTTGGTTCAGCACCAAAAGAAAGTTCAATTACTCACAATAACTACAGGTTGGTGAAAAAAATACATAGTCCTTGAGACCCAGAATACAAACAATGCAAAGTAAGAAGAGAAAGTTCTCCCAGGTGGGGAAGGGAGCAGTGGCAATCTGTGGAATAATCAATGGATGATTTTGAGCTTATATGAAAAACTCCCTGGACAAAGACCTTTTGGAGACAGCTTAGTTGCTCCTTGGTGAAGTTAAGAGAATCTCATTTAGCTCTGCAAGTTTTGACTTGCATGCACCCCACATAGATCAGGGCACAGATAACAAATAAAAGGAAAGGCAGTGGGTGCCCCATCCCTGGAGACATTCAGGTCAGGTTGGAGGGGCTCTAAGCACTGATGGAGCTGTGGTTGTCCCTGCTCACTGCAGGGGGTTGAACCAGATGGCCTTTAATAGTTCATTCCCAACTCAAGTGATCCTATGTTTTTATATTTCTCCCCTTTTCCTATCAAAATGCTTCTGATTTTATTACACAGACTTGAGTTGCCACAAATGCACTCAGCTCTGCTGTGAGCTCCATGTGAGTCTGTTAGCACCACAGCACAGGACAGCAAAGGCAGCCGTTGGCGGCTCAGATCATTCCCTCCCTCTTCATTTCCATGATAAGAAATATTTGTGCTTCTGTTTGTTCAGGCTGCAATTTGAGAAGATTCAACTCTATGTAATTAAGGAATGCTCCTCCTTGGAATGGGTATTACCACTAGATAATTAAGCATGTTGGGAGTCTGATGTTTCAAGAAAGCAATCGTGCTTAACAAATGACAAAGCAAATTGCCTGTCGGGAATGTTTGCTACAGAGGAAGTTATCAGCATTATGAGTGCAGTTTTGCTTTCTATTAAACAGTAATTTACATTTCACTGCATATTAATTTAGTTTTTAATTTTTTAGTGACTTCAGAGCTGGTGAAATTTGCTAGTCTATCTGAATTGCTCAGACTTGTGCCTACACCCACTCATACTTGGAAAGCTGTTCCACCAGTGGAAAGATGAGGAGCCAAGTCCTGGCAGCACAACAGGCAAGCAAAAAAAAACCAAAAAACCCACACCCAGCAACAAGGGGACTAGCACTCCAAAATGTCTAATGGGGCCATTGAATGTGGGACACACAGAAGATTACAAATCAGTGACCATAACAGAATCATTAAGGTTAGAAACGACCACCAAGATCACCCAGTCCCACCCCAACCCATGCCCATCGTGCTCACTAACCACATCCCTCAGTGCCACATCTCCATGGTTCTTGAACACTTCCAGGGATGGTGACTTCACCACCTCCCTGGGCAGCCCATTCCAATACCTCATCACTCTTTCTGAGAATCAATTTCTCCTAATTTTTCCTAATATCTAACTTTATCCTCCCCCATGCAACTTTCATTGCAATGCATTGGGCTGTTTTGTAGCCGAGCCCTCTCAAATCAGTGGTTCCAGATCTGTTTTGTTTGCATAAAATGGGCATCCTATTCCCCTGAAGCGAAATTAGGATTGTAAGAGCACAGCGAGATGCAAAAAACCATACAGACTTCCTGAAAATTCCCTTCACTAAGCCCCCAAACGTGTGAATTTAATGTAGCCATCATACCTTTGCCATCAGAGATGTTTGCTTTTACCTCCAAGTTGTCCAGTAAAAGATGGAGACCAGGGAATGATGCTTTCACAGCCCTGAGAAGCTTGACCAAACTTTCAGCTTTCAGGGTTTTCTCCTCTTCCACCTTCTTGAGCAGACTGTCCATGGCTTCCCTCTGGGATTTGCCCTCACAGCAATTCAAAACTACCTGTAACAAAGAAACAGACAAGAAACTGCTACACTTCCTTCAAATTCTTGGATCTAAACAACACTAAAGAAAAAGGGACAGTATCATGATGTAACAAATCCATATCCACTGTTCAGACTGGCTATCAGGAAGAGTTTCTTTATGGAGATGATGAAGCATTGGAAGGGGCTGCCCATGGAAGTGACAGACATCCCATCCCTGGGATTAATTAAGAGATGTGTAGATGTGGAACCAGGAGACATAGTTTAGTGGTGAGGCTTGGTAGGTCATTTGGATGGTTGGACTTGAAGGTCTTTTCCAACCCTAAATGATTCTATGAGTTGGCACCTTGAAAAGTACCCCAGTGGGCTCTTACACCAAGTCTACATCTTGGAAATGTCTGATGAAACAGAAAACATTTCTTCAAAGGAATCAAAAAAAGACTCAAAGACAGTGTTCAAAACAATTCTTCATTAAATATTTTTAGCAAAGACTTTCTAAATTGGCAGTCTCTTTTCCCTCATTTCCCTTCTTTTTTTTCTGCTTGTCACTCGAAGACAAGGAGACAAAAAAAGGAGACTCATTAAATAAACACCCTATTAATTGAATGATTATTTTTATGACGAGTCCACATGAGACAGCTCATCTGTGAGATATAATCACTCTAGTTCAAGCATGCCGTAGTAGCAGCTCCCCAGCACAACCAGTAAAGACAGCCAGTCTTTATGGGGAAAAAACAGCCAGTTTATGGGGAATGGGGGGGCATCGTAGAAGTGTACACACACAGGCAGAAACTAGATACATGGCCCATTAATTATTAGTATCTGTCCTAAAAAAAAGTTATATTTTTGCTCCCTTTCCTCAGGTTGGGAAGCTCGTCCACAATCTCATACCCCAGACGACTCCTCTAATTTTCAGTTTAAATTTATTCATGGCCAGTGTATACCCACTTGTTCATCTGCCAACATTATCTTTTAGCTTAAAAAGCTCTTCTAAACTCTCTGTTTACCATATTCTTCTCTCCAATTTCTTTATAGAAGCAGGACCATATTCCCTCTCAGTCTTCATTTCACTTGTCCAAATAAGACAGCTTCTCTCATAAAATAGCTTCTCCACTTCCCTGATCTTAACAACTGACTCTACTTCAATACAAATTCATCTTTTTTGGAGGAAGACAAGAACTGCATACAGTATTTCAGATAAGGTTTTAGACTTAGTTCTTGTTCTGAATTTGCACCCTTCCATCTTCCTATTCTCACTGCTCAGCTCTCCAGCCATGTTATCCTTCTCCCACTTGCAGATTCTCCTCCATATAGAGGAAAGCCCATGGCTTTGCTCATCACCAAGTCTTCCTACCACGTTTTGATATTTTTGTGTCAACAGCATTAGCAATTAATTGAGTACAAAGAAACCTGCTGGTAACCTTGCTTCAACATGTCAATCCTGCCTTCAGCACAACCTGTAGTTATCTCCCAATAAGCTATTTCCTCTTTTTAATATCAAGATTTCGTTTGGTTTAACAATTTCCCCACATGAAATTCAAACGCTTTGCTCAAGTCTAGATTGAGGCAGAAAACCCCATTTTTATCTCATCAAATAAAGATTCCAGGTCAGGCAGAAACAATTTACTCCAACACCCTTGCTGCATTTTATTCCATTTCTTTGATTACATGCAGTGCTTCAATTACACAAGCCTTCCAGCCTGTCCCAGTGCATATTCCTGTGCAGCCATAGACAGGACAGCAACATAGCCATTGCTCGGATCACTGCTTCCCTCTTTCTACACGTATGTTCTGGTCTCTAATTGTAGGGACTACTCCCAGCTTGAAAAATGCAGTCATAAACCTTGCCACTGCTCTCACAGCCATGTGAGGTGTGGGCTAGTTCCTCCAGCCTGCTGCCCCTACACCCTTCGAGTTGTGGTTTCAGTTCAGCTGCAGGAAATTTCCATTCCTGTATCTTTGCTAGAGCTCTCCTGCGTTTGTCCCTCAGTTCAGCCATGAGATTGTGGGTCATCTCCTCTCACTAACCTCTTTTTTTTTCACTTGATTGAACAGTTGTTTGCTTCTTCACTTAACATATACTGTGATGTCCAGCAGCCTGATGAGCTGCAAGACCTCCTTCTTACAGACATTTTCAGACCTCTGAAGCGAAGTCCTTTGTCTGTAGGCCATTGCAGCCATCCTGGCAGCTTCTCCTCTTGGTCTAATACTCTTCAAGTTATTTATTCCCTCAGGTCTGCAACTTCCTGTACAAATTCTCCTCTTTGGTTGAGGAAACAAACTTCAGACAGTTCTCATACCTTTAACATGAAAGAAACGAATCCAACAGCTCCTCCTGAGCTCTTATGAGCAGCTGAACTCATTAATTAGTTTCTCTCATTTCTAGAAATCTGTCCTTTTATAGCAAAAACCTCTGTTAGTGAATCTCCCATTTAATTCACGCCGAGATGACCCCTGATTACTCATTTTGAAGTCATCTTTTCCAAGAACACAGGAGGGGTACAAGAACAGCATCTTTATGAAGAGTTCAGACTACAACCTGTTGCTGCTCCCAGACAAGTTTCTGTGCTGCATTCCAGCAGGCCCAGAACAGATGGCCCTGGCTGTGATTTTGAGACTCTTTTTGACCACATCTGAGTGGGACAGTCAGAAAACCCCCAAGTGTGTTTGAAGGCAGTTTTCTGCATTCCCCAGTATGCCCAGTTAGGATTGCTCTCACAATGGCAAGAAACCTTGTTTGCATTGTCATTAATAAACCCTAGCAAGGAGCTCTTACTCATGTGCAGAAAGAAAGGATGGATGTTTCTACTGTGCTGCTCCAGGTTCAGGGCTGTACTGAGGATTGGTCACACTGAATTTTGCAACTACTTAAGACATCACACACAAGAGGTTACCCTGCTCTTTCATTTTATCCAAGTTTGTCTGCTGAGGGAGTGACTGCAAGAAGAAAAGTTTCATCTTTATGAAATCTTGGAGTACTAGATGCTATCTCTGCCAGCCCAGAGCTCTCATGTTATTCAGTAAGATGAAACCTTCAGAGGTGGCTGATAACTCCACGTTCCACACCTGAGATATGCCACAGCCCCACTGTTTAATCAAGTCAACTTCTGAATTCATTATACACATTTCCAGTTGTCTAGGGGGAAAAAAAACAGCACAAACAAATAAAGGAGAACTTAAAGAAATAAAAAATGGCAGCAAAGGATCCCTGCCCCTCAGGTCAGTCTACATATGGCAATTTCTGCCTTACTTTCCTGGGCCTCACCTTCCAGTGTACAGCTGTGCACCCAGTCTCACTGAGGTCCCCTGCAAATACATTTGTTATTTGTCAGCAACCTCCGAGCTAAAACAGGAGCATTTGTGCTTGAGAACCCATTGAGAAGAGAAGGATTTTGTATTCAGAGCAGGGTTTGGAGGCTCTGCAGCAAACAGTGCGGGAGTAGAGAGCAACCAAAAAGCACAAGAAGAAATACTGAATAACACTACCCCTGCACCAAGGCAGAAGCCCTGTGAATGCCAGAATGTATGATCATGCAATTGAATGCTACCAGATGCTATACCCAAGGGTCAGAATTATGGCACCTCTGGGTATCCCTAGCATTTTCTTCGGCCCTCCTGCAAGCTGTGGCCATACTCCAGGCTGCCCCATGCTGGAAACCTCGTCAGGGATTGCGTGCAAGGGAGCAAGACAAAAATCAAGACACTTATAAGAAGAGCAAACATTTTCAGCCAGCCTGTCATGGCCCTGGTCAGACTCACTCAGACAGAAAGCAGACATCATTCATGCCACTGAGCACAACAGTGCTTTCCTCTCGCTATAATCCTATGTCAGGGGAACTAACTGATGTGACAAAATAGGACAGGTCGTCTGCAAGCCGTGTACTGAACGCAGCATGCTAGGACACCTGCAAGTTTCAGCTTCACAGGCAGGGTATAGGCAGCTCCCATCAGAACACAAAAGAAAGCAGGTTGTGCACAATGTTGGGTTGATGGGTTTTTTTTCTTTATAGCTTCTGCAATTCTGCATACATAATGCAATTGCTTGCGGGAAAGCAGTAGTCCTCCACACCAACTGCTGCACTCAAGTCATCAAAAAAAAAAAAAATCTGTCAGTGGATGTGCTACACTTGCAGGCAACTGTGTGCACAGAGTTAAAGAAGAGAGAACCTGGGAGTCAGCTAAAGGCAAGCTGATGACTGAATTTACAAGGATATAACTGGTGTGCAGGCAGCACGCAATTTTAATGGTCCTGCTGAAAACAAACTGCATTACAGAGCCTTCTTCAGGTTCACAAAAGGAGACTGTGAGAAACACCAGCTGCCTCCTTTGCCCCAGTTTCTGCTTTCAGGGACAAATTGGCAGACTGGTCAGTGTTCCCCCTGGCCTTGAGGTTACACTTTTGCAGTCCAGCTCTTAGTATTCCTACAGTTCAGCATGGAAGCAACTGAGACAGCTAACACAAGCAGTCCATGCTGTGCAGAGAGAAATCACCAGGTGAGACTGGAGCATCACTGGGCAAACCGTGTGGAAAGACAGTGCCTGGCAGACCCACACATACAACCCTCACCCACAGAGCTTCCCTTATCTCAGATTTGTTACCCGCTTCTCCGTGGTGGTCAGGAATCCCTCTTCTGCTGCCTCCAAGAACTCTACAATGGGGCTCAGCTGTGTCACGCTCTGGATTAGCTCCTCCTTGCATCCCAGCAAACGAGCGGTCAGCATCTCTCCCTCTTCTGCACTCTCTGGGGAGAAAAGGATTCAGAAGCACAAGAGAAGAAACAAGTCAGTCTGAAGGAACTGACAGGCTCCTGAAGCGAGTGAGACTCTGTGAAAGATCTAAGTGAATAGCAAAGCTCATCCTGAGCACAAGCAGCAGAGAAAAACCACTTTACGATTCTCTTTAAACTCTATGAAAGGAAAACGTCTCATTTATCTAACAGAGCACAAAGCCATAAAGCAAGCTGGAGGTTAACACCAGGTTTGCAAGGCCACTGCTTTGTGTCAGACTCAAGTAAGAAAGGAGCTTTCAATCCCGAGGCTCAGCTGTGCTCCAGCCCATGCTGGCTGTGCAGCCATCGATCCAACCCTGCAGGCAGCAATGGGGAGAGCCCTGCACTGCCTGCACCCCACTGCTGTGGAGCAGAAACACTCCAGGATCTTGGCCAGCACACAATAAGCCTCCCACATATGAGTAAGGATACAAGCTCTGAACAAATGCTAGAGCACTGCAGCCTGCCAGGGGGACACAAATAATCTTCTGAAGCTTTGCCTGTAAGGTTACCCACTCACTTTGCCAAAAGCTGTGTCCAATTCTCGATACCTGTTTGCTGCAGGACCTCTCCACTGCCCTGCTCCCTCTCCAGCAAGGCCACTCTCAGCTTGGGATTCACATCTTGAAACAGCTTCAGTAAAGACACAAGGGTCTGAGCATTCAGAGTGTGAGCATCCTTCACTTTGCTCAACAGTTTCGTGAACACTGACTGTTCCCCTGCCTCTGCCAGACAGGTGAGCACAACCTAAAACAGGCAAACACAGGAAAGGTTTAGTAACAGAGTCAACTGCCTAATGCAAGCTGACATAAAGAGCAGATTTCACTGAAGAACAAGGAGAGAACATGCACAGAAAGCAGAGAGCATTTTGGTGGGACTTTAGGAATCCTCCTTCTCAAGTCATTAAGGAGTCACGTCTCCCAGCGAATGCTTTGGGCTTAAGCTTTAGAGATAAGGCACGTAAGTGCTGTGTTGTGGGCTCTCTGCACACCTGGCAATCAAGCTCAGAGCTCCAAAATCCACTCCTGTGACCCCACATGGCAACCAGAGGCAAACATGCCTGCACAGTGATGGAAATAAAAGGAAAAGAAAGAAGCTGGAACTCTTGCTCCCATTTCCCTGGAGCCCTTTAACGCTGTAAACATTGCCCCTAAAGACACACACTCCCCAGCTCTCCATGAGAGATGCCAGCCTTTCAGAGCAGGCATCCTTTATTAGAGACTCCAGGGATGCTATAAAAGTACCTTTGAAGTGGAGAGCTTAGCCCTGCTCCCAAGATAACGGCCATTTTCTGCTGTCATTGTCATTTTTATTTCTATGATAAAAAGACTGAATGTAACTGCTTGAGGCCGCACCAGGGGGATGGTGGACTTGCTTTTCCTAGCAGGTGTAAATGCTCACATATTAGGGCAGCGTGACAGTGTGATGACCTATTGCAAAGAGCATCTGCAGAGGGAGAGCTGCAGGAGCCCCAGCTCTTACCCTCTAACAGCATTTTTCCTGCCAAACAGAGAGACATGGACATGAAGGGCTCTGTTATAAAGGAAAAAAGCCTTAATTAAAATTAAAATCAGCACAGAATGACTACCCAGAGCTTCAGTTAACATCCCTTCCTCGGTGCACGGTTTTCATTAGCAGAACTGAGTTTTGAGAAAGGGAAAGGCTCTGCTATTTATAGTTTCTTTCTGGAAGACCTTTCCTCAGACACACTGCTCAGTGGGAACAACAGCCTTTTAGTATTGTTTAGAAAGAGTGCACAGTGCATTTTAGACTTACTTTGAAGCAATAACAATTCCCAGAGAACCTGGAAGAGCTGGAGAAATAGCGATATTATCTGGAATTGCAGCTTCCACTTACTCATAAGGTTCCCATGCATTACAGCCTCATCCATTAGGTTTTAACTGCACAGGATATTTGCAAATTCCTTCATAGCCACATTAGTACACAGCAGCGCACATCCACCTCCCAGACCCTCTGGGCAGGGCAGCAGAGTCACCAAGACATGGCTTCAGCTTGAGTTGTGGCACCAAAAAGGATCAGTGCCCACTGCAAAATTGGGCTCGTGCACATCAGTGGTGGTGTCCATAACCCATCCAGCTCAGCACCAAAATGATCTCACACAATGAGAAATTTCTTTCCCAATACATTCAGTCCCTACACCATCACATCCATTTGCTGCAGTCTTGCCTCTTCCCTGTAGATGGAGAAGCACTGCTCTGGCTTTTCAAACCTCATCTCTACTTCTATTCACTGTCAAGTGCCAGTGATCCAAGCAGAAAGCCACTTCACCAACTATTATCGAGTGAGCTCTCCGAAACAACAGCTTCAGGGCAACACAAGCTCCTCAAGTGGTAGGAGGGATCAAGAGATAGCAGAGGACACTGGTTCCACTTGTGCTGCTTTTACAAACTCTGCCAAAACTTCCACACGAACGCACCAGAACAAGGGAAAAGTTTAGCCAGCTTTGCCACCATTAAAACAAGCAAAAACACAAGCAAGCACTTCTCATCAGGATGCAGGAGATAAAGGGAAACTTTTATGCCGCATCCAGAAATTCCTGCAGCTGCAAATGAAGGACAGCAATAATTGGACAGGCCCATATGCAATGGAAATGCTCCACAAGCACAGTGACACTTATTCTGCGCTAGAGAATCAACACTCCCCACTTCATCTGAAACCAGAAGCAGAGGGAACAAATGAGCTGTGCAATGATTTGAATTGAGTTTCTCTAAGAAAGCACAGGAAGATAAGACTTGACACCAGCAAAGCTCTTCTACGCTTCCCCAAATTACTGCAATTTCAGACTCGTTCTCATTTCCAAGCAGGTTTCATCCAGGCCAGAACCAAATTAGATAGGAATAGTTTATGCGAGTTACAGAGAGAGACTTCAGAACAAAAAACAACTCCCCCAAAAAATCACATCTCCCTAAATAGAAAACCAACTTACAAGGGTACGTCTGCATTTTTCAGCACAGGAAGCAGAAAGTAGCAGCAAACTTAGAGGAAAGTAAAAACTCTGACAAAAGCAAAGCCACAAACCTCAGTGGGGAAAAAAGCCCAAAAACAAACAAACAAAAAAAAACCCACAACTTCACCAACCCCTACTGGATGTAGTAGGAAATAAAGCAGCGACACCTGAGGGGAGCAAAGCACAACCCCTTATTCTGTGGGGCTGCTGGCAACGAGGCACCCATGGATGGATGAGCAAAGGAACAGAAATAGAGTGACATCCAAGGCAAAGCCCCACTGAAACCTGAGGAGCCAGAGCAGCCTCAGCTTTAACAGGCAGGTTTGCAACATCTCTACCAACACTCCAAGCCCCAGTGCTGTGCCTGCCTGGGCTTTGTTGTCAAAAACTGCTCGCTGATAGAAACAGTGCATCCACAAAGGAGTTGAGAGCAGAAGGACATGCACAGGGGATGGAAGCTCTCCTCTGCAGCATGGCAAGCACTCCCCACCAGAGTGCTCAGTATGAGGAAAAGGCAGCTCCTTGCATCGCATGGTTGCACCCACAGCCATCTCACTGTCTTCCAAACTGGCTTTCACTTGCACAAAGGTGCCCGAGAGACTTAAAGCAAATAAGTAGTGAAATAAAAAGGAAATCAAAAGAAAAAAAAAAAAAAAAGAGGGAGGGGAAAAAAAAATCCATTGACTTTTTACCATTGCCATAATTTCAGCCCTTGTTACACATCCTGAGCTGTGCTCTTCTCAGCTAAACTTGCTCTTTAAGCACGACTTTGAAACACACCACTGTGTTTCCCCAAAGAAAACACCGGGCCCTTACAGGAAAAAGCAACACCCTCTGCTGGAAGCAGAGCTCAGAGTCGTGCCGGTGCCGACAGATGCTGCTTATCCCAGCAGGGAGCTCAGAGAGCGACAGAATGGGCTGAGCTGAGAGTTTTCTCCTAAGCCCTTACTTAGAATGGGCTGCAATCCCCCTCCTCTCCCCACTGCCTTTGGGGCTAACACTTTTCATGCTTGTTGCAGCTGAGAAGTGATTTTTCTGCGAGGCTTAAAGAAAATCCATTTCTCATTTATTCAGCATTTATTTATAGCTACAGAAAAATTGCCCAGGTGCTGTTCTGCAGTCAGATACCCACACTGTCTCTGAACTCTCCCCGTTTGGATCCTACAGCAACAGCTCATTCGGGAGCAAAACAGGCAGGGCACATGGCATAGATGGGCCCACCGACCCCATCTGCTATGCATTCGCAGTGCTGGAGACACAATAAGCATTACAGTTACTGCAAAGCAACAGAAAAACAGGGCTGTTTAACCATCACGGAAGCAAGGCAGCATGCACGCCGGGCTGTGAGTGCTGTGCTGTGCAGACTGTGCACATGAGTGAGGAGATTACGCTTGGCACAGGCAGCACCTGTCTGCGTTGTGAGGGCTCAGCACTCTTGCAGGGGCACTGCTCCAGTTGCAGCACCAATTGCCCATGTGTAAAGCTGGGACAACTTTAAACCTGACGGTTTTCTAATCTGCAAGATGAATGAACACACAAAAACATAATCCTTTGGAGGCATGCTGAGAGCAACACACTCACAGGTGCTTGTCAGTCTGGCCAGGCTTGGGCTTGCTACGTAACCATGAATTAGGACCCACATCTCACCTCTTAGAGCCCCAGATAAGTTCAACACTGTCAAAGGGGCCAGCTGCTAAGGGAACAAAGACTTCCAACCCATCAACATTCAAAGGCTTATCAGAAAATAAATCTGTACTCCTTGACTTGAGGGAATTCTCCTACCTGCTGTCACACATCTTTTTTCTAATAAACACGTTGGCTTCGGTTTTCCTCAACAGAAAGATGTCTTGGCATCACACAGTTATGCTGGTACAAGAGGGTCCAGGTGATTCAAAACCAGATGGCTTCCCACCCAGTAAGCTTCTAAAATCAGAGATCTCAGTCCCCTAATCCAGGACTTCCCTGCTTTTAAAGCCTTGTGCGAGGGCTGGTATCTGTTGTTCATAGCCCAGAATATCCCTTTTAGCACCAACTCAGTGCTACACTCAAACATCTTCCAACAATAACTTGAGCATCATTCATCTGCAACAACAGCTTTTCAAGCTGAATGCTGCCAGAAGCACCATGAGACAGCAGGCCAGCATGCCCTGTATCCATCCCCACCCATAAGGCTCCTCGTGAGCGGCCTGCACAACACAGAGCAGAGCAGCTGCTCCGCAGCAAGCCCTCACCACGGGAACAGGAAATCTATTTTGGGATCCCATGTGTCAGTCATTCCCATGTTGATGCAGTTCCCGAGGCAAATGCCACAAACAGGAAGAGTGCAGGAGCTCTCCTAGCACAGGAAAGATGTCTTTGGGGCAGGACATGCACTTTATCACCTACATGCACAAGCAGCTTTGTCTCAGATGTTACTTGGGTGTATCATTCAGGTGAGCACAATCTGCCCTTCTAATAACAAAGCACCAGAGCCCCAGTTTCCCTATGAAAAGATTTCCTGAGCAGGGATGGAACTATTCTAGCCCACAGCAGGGTGGGGAAGAAAAGACTTGTATTATTTATCCAATAAACACACCTACCTCCCTTTGAGAGGCATCAATTTCTCTGCACTCTTCTAGTCTTCTCAGCACGGCTTGGGCATCAGAAAGGGCCTCTGAGAAAACACTTTCATATTGAAGAAAGAAATCCAGTTTACAGCTTTTGCTCTCTGCTGCTGTGAGAGAGAAACAAGATGAGTTATTTGCTAATTGAAGGGATTCACAGAAAGCGGGATGTGATTGAAAAGCATCAGTTTGTAACCAGCACATTGGATGTAACATGGAAACTGTGACTCACAAATCCCTTCTAAAGATATCACACAGCCTGGAGGAAAAACCAACAGTTTATTTAACACAAGTTATAAATGGAACATTTATCTTAAATCCAGTGCAGCCTCTGTTTCCCTCCCATGCTGAACATGAGTTTAAAAGATAAAGTAGCATTAGCAGGCAACTCTGTTCACTTACTGCTATAAAGATTGAATTACAAACCTCATGTGCTGCATTAACACAGATCCCACTATACATGAGATGCAATATATAAGATATTCATCTATACAAAGATGAATAGATAAGAAAAGTTTTGCTCAATATAGCTCTGGTAAAGTGCTAAGAGCAAAACAACCACAAAGGCCAAAGGATAGCACTGCTCTGTGCCAAAGGAAGAAAGTCCCTACAGAAAAGGGGCACACGTCAGTGCTGTTACCAACCCATAGCAAATTAAAAGATGAAACACAGAGAAAAAGATCCCCCGTGACAAAAAAAAAGTAAAGCAACTCAAGTGTAAATCACTGAGAGGCAATCCTGTCAAGGCTCACCTAAACCGCTCACTCTTCCTTTCTTCTCCAGAGGCTCAGCAGGCTCCACTTCGACACAGCAACCACACTCTGTGCAGGCAGGCTGGGCAGCACAAGAGCCTGAATCCTCTCGAAGGGACCCCGAGCTGCTCAGCATCACATCCTGGTGAAGCCAGGTGTGATTCACAGTCAGCTCCTGCTCAGGAAGAGAAATATCTGCTTCCATCTCTGCTCCTCCAGGGCCAGAAGGGTGCAGGGCATCTGTTTTTCCTTCAGCAGCAGGTTTTTCAGATTGGGGCAGGTTATCTGCTTCAGCACTGCTTCCAGATGAGTCTGCTGCATGGGCAGAGACTTCTACCTGATCCTGAGTTGAACAGCTGATGAGGTCTCTCAGTAGGGTTTTGCAGCTAACAGCCACATCAAACATCTGCAGACTATCTGACACAAAGATGACTTTGGTGAAGTTGTGTTTCCCTGTTGGGAGCTTGCCAGTATACATCATCTCCAGCAACAATGCAAACTCCTCAGGTGTCACCACAGAAGCATCAATGGAAATGGTGTCTGTGCTGTCCAACAAAGATTTAAAAAGCAGGCTGGCAGCAGCTAAAACAACCTTGTGTGCTCTGAAGTGAACAGTCCCAACAAAGATGGTGCAATCGCAGAACTGCTGTTCTTTGCAAAGAGTGTACAGCTGCTGCAGCAGCTGCTTGCTGTAGCTGGGAAGCTCCATGGCTCCTGAATCTAGTGGTTTTCTCTTGCTTTGGTCTTCACACTGCTTTCACAAGGTCCAGCTAAAGGAAAAACAAAGGATCCTGCTAGCAAAAGAAACAAAACATTACTTTTCATTTGACACCTGCTGTAGTTTACTGTGCTGTAGTTTAGTGGTTGTAGCAAGAAAGAGGTTCCATTCTTGACTCTGACTCCCCAAATTCAGCAACTTACCCCATATTGTTCAAATGTAACTACTTCAGAGAGAGCTTAAGAGTGAATACTGAGACTCCCTGACATAACTCCTACCATACAGCTCTAAGAAACACGAATGCTTTTCATTGAGGCACTGCAGTGCCAGGCTTTGTCTGTATCCAGCAACTGGAGCTGATGCTGGATTCAGCAGTCAGTTTCTGAAAGGGCAGGTAGGGAACCAATGCAGGAAGACCTGCTCAGACTATCAAATACAGAGGAAAATCGGAGGTGTTGATTTTGACCTACAAAGCACTAAGTGATCTGATCGTACAGCACAGAGGCAGAAGTCCATAGGCCGAGTCTCGTCTATTATAGCATCTCTTTTCCTATTCCTTCCTTTTTTTTTTTTTTTTTTTTCCTGTGTTGCTGTTGGGAGAAAAAAAAATAGATCCACCAGCAGAATTTTTATCAGCAGGATATCTCAAGTTTTTTTATCTCTGCTAGACAAGATAAAGATGTTACTGTCTCCTGTCTATACACTAGATGCCTAACATGGATGCTGGCAATGATGCTGAAACAAAACAGCATGAGTGCTAAAGGAGGAGCACCTGGATGGACACAGTTTACAAGACCTTCAACTGCTTAGCATCTTCTCACTCAGCTTCCTGCTCTCTCACAGAGAACAAAAATAATACTGCCTACCATTAGGACATGAGTTTTAATTAGCCAATGCTGCTCATACATCACCTTGAAGCACTGCCTCACCCATGCACAGGACTGGCCACCTGCACTTCAATCCCATTAAACGTAAGGGTTCTGTTATCCTCCCTGTATTACTGCTGTAAATCACAGACAACCAAGTTGATGTCAGCAGTTGCTGGCGAACGTGGGAGAAGAAAGAGCCCCATTTCTTTTGCCAGGCTGAGTGTAATAGCAGTTTTAGTCCACCCACTCCTTGCCTGGAGTTGAAGAGCTTCCAGTATCTGAAATGAAATTGGGTCTGCTGGTTAAGAAATAATAGCTGCGGATCTTCCTACAAAAGGACAAGCAGGAAACATCAGTGCCCTGGAAGAGATGTCTTGTGCACAAAACCTCTCACTTCCACAGTTTGAAGCAGCAGCACCGTCTGCTCCCTCTGTTCCTGGCAAGGGTATTGAAGATATATTTGCCCATGACAACTCAAAACAGGAAAGCTCTAAGCAGCCTAATATCACCTTGCCATCTTTATTACAATAGTTTAGAGCTATGCAAAATGTGTTCTGAGTAATTAGACCAAATATATTTGTACAAATACATTATATTTCCTTAATTATAGGGACCAAAATATCCAGTCCTGCCAAAGAGAATGATGATGGGTTTTTTTTTAACAGGGGGGTGACTGCCAAGACCATCGTCAAGGCAACTGCTTGCTACTTATAGCAGTCTTCAAGCTTTTATTCTGAGCTGAAGGCCAGAAGGGACCACCAGCAGCAATCTGACATCTCATCTGTCACTGTCTCCTAGATTTCTGGTCTTAATATCTTGGGTTTGGCTGAAGCTGCTCTTCCAGAAAGGTGCCTACTCACGATAAGAACTGATGTTTAGGATGAGAACCCTCCATGCCATAGTGAGTCATTCTGACTTTTAAAATACATGCCTCATTTCTTACCTGAATTTGCCCAGCTTCGTCTCCCAGCTGTCTTCTAAATGACTTTTGGGAGATTTGCCTGCAGAACTGGGCTGAACTTGGAATCTCTCTGAGAGCAGATAATACTTCAGCAACGATGAGTGCTTGCAGAGTATGAGCTATCTGCCTCTGCCAGAACCACTGGTGAGAAAAAGCCATTTGTCACTTTTTCAGCCTAAAGCTTTTCTGCATCGTCTTTGGAGCCATGCTCAAAGATAAGACCACTGTAGGTATTCTTCTTTTTCTTTCTGGATTTCAAACTTAAAGTAAAATGTATTAAGTTGACTGCTGCAGCCTTTGACACCTGAGCCACACAAACACTGCCCTCCTCTTCCAAAAATGTCGGCTCACTGGAGACAGAAGTGGGGACAGAGGAAAGAGAGATGTGCTTATCTTAGCTGCCCTCCAGGCAGGCTTTGTCAAAGAATGATGAATCTTTTAAGGAAAGGTGTGACACGTCCCAGCTTACAGAGGAAAACACCAGGGTAGTTTAGTTATTTTGGTTCCACTGATGTCCAGTGAGACTGCAAAGCCAATGAATTTGAGTCAAGTCCTGAAAAGCACTTGAAATTCTAAGGCTCCACTCAACCATATATTGATATATGTCCTTTTGTCACTGTTAGGCAGCAGCCAGCACCTGAGACTGCTCTCAAGACAGCCACTTTGGCAAAGAAACCTCTTCTTCTGAACCTCTCAAATTCAGGTCTGCAGTAAACACTACTCTCTGTTGTCTGATGCAGCTCCCCCTTCCTTCTCCTGGGTATTTCAGTCCACAGTTGGAAAGAATCACATCTTTTTCTCTAGGCTAGGTTAGAATAAGAAAAGAATAAGATGATGGCAGCAGATAGGTGCTCCAGAAACCCCCAAATGAGAACACCCCTCTCCTGAATGTAAGGCCGTGACATTATTCCCATTCCTTTAGAAGGTCATAATTATAGAATCGTTTGAGTTGGAAGGAACCCTTAAAGGACATCTAGTCCAATCAGCAGCACTACAACAATTTTACTGCCACCTCAGCCTTAGCAAAAGGAGCTTGTATGCCACAATAATGCCAAAAACAATGCCAAAACTTGCCTTCTGCATTGATTTCAGCAAGACCAAACACTGGGTCCTGCACTTTGGCCACAACAACCCCAGGCAACGCTACAGGTTTGGGGCGGAGTGGCTGGAAGATGTGTAGAGGAAATGGACCTGGGGGTATTAATTGATGCTCAGCAGAACATGAGCCAGCAGTATGCCCAGGTGGCCAAGAGGGCCAATGGCATCCTGGCCTGCATCAGAAACAGCGTTGCCAGCAGGAACAGAGAAGTAATTGTCCCCCTGTACTCAGCTCTGGTGAGGCCCCACCTCGAGTACTGTTTTGCGTTCAGTTTTGGTCCCCTCACTGCAAGAAAGACATTGAGGCCCTGGAGTGGGTTCAAAGAAGGGCACCTAAACTGGTGAGGGTCTGGAGCACAGGCCTGATGAGTAACAGCTGAAGGAGCTGGGATTGTTCAGTGTGGAGAAGAGGAGGCTCAGGGGAAACCTCATTGCTCTCTACCTGAAGGGAGGTTGTAGTGAGCTGGGGGTCGGCCTCTTCTCTCGTGTAACTGGTGATAGGATAGAGAGAATGGCTTCAAGCTGCGCCAGGGGAGATTTAGGCTGGATGTTAGGAAATACTACTTTTCTGAAAGAGTGGTCAGGCACTGGAACAGGCTGCACAGGGAGGTGGTGGAGTCAGGGAGGTGTTCAAGGAATGTTTGGATGTTGTGTTGAGGGATATGGTTTAGTGAGTGCTATTGGCGATAGGTGGATGGTTGCACTGGATGATCTTGTAGGTCTTCTTCAACCTTGGTGATTCTGTGATTAGTTAACACCTCAGTGGCCATTACAAAGATACAGTCCACGTCTGGGATTCTTTTTTGCGATGCACATGCAGCAGGCTTTCTTTAGATTTTAATAATAATAATGAACGCTTCACTGCCAAGAAATTAAGCAATATCCCCACACAGCTTTTTAAGCGCACAAACCCACAGCCTTGTGCTCCCTCTGCTGACAGCACCCTGCAACCAACCCAGCCTGGTGCACAGATCATAAAAGGAAAAAGATCTGCATCCAGCTCTGAGCCAGTGCAGGAGTTAAAGACATTGACAGCCTGGAATCAAAATCTAAGTTCTTTTTGTGTGTTTATCAGCCACCTGTCTTCTTGTTGCAAAGACGATGACCTTACAAAAAGGGTTATTAGAAAGCCAGGAAATCATGTACTGCAATTCAATTTTCTCACCTCTCCCACCAGAAGTAATTGTGTCTTTGAAGAGCTGAGAGAGGCTGAGAGGTCATTACCTTTCCCTGGGGGGGGCTCCAAAGGGCCAGAGCAGGCAGCACTCCCTGAGGGTAATATAAAATCCAGTCTAAGGAGCCAGGGCACACCAATTTGTTTTTCAATCTATTCTACTTCAGTACAGAGCATCAGTGCAGACAGATAAGAGGAAAACAAGCAACACTTTGACTAAATTCGGTGCTCCACAGTCTCTAAAAGCAGCAGAATATACGTCACAAAAACAAGCAACATTTTGGCTGTCTGCGCTGATGCTTTACATGGAAATATAGCAGATTGAAAAACAAATAGGTGTTATTCAGTACTTAATAGCAAGTTTTCCATTACCCTTCAAAGCAAGAGCCCTAACAAAGGGGTGATATCATCCAGGGGAAGACAATCACGAAACCAAAGCAATGGCCAAAGCTTACTCTCCAATCTGCTCATCCTTATCTCACTATACCCAACACTGAAAGCACTGATTGTCATAGAATCATAATACAATCATGTAACTGTTGAGTTGGAAGAGACCCTTAAAGGCCATCTGGTCCAATGCCTCCGCAATGAACAGGGACACCCACAGCTCCATCAGTTCTCAGAGCCCCTCCAGCCCAGCCTTGTGTCTGCAGGGATGTGACATCCCCCACATCTCTAGGCAAGCTGTGCCAGACTTGTTAGTCTTAACTGTTTTGAGCTGAACGCATTGAGAGTGAGTCAAGAAGCACCTGGACTCTCAATGCTATCACCACCCTCACAGCCCCAACACCCCTGCAGGGAAGAAGGACCTCTCTGCGTACCACAACCACTCTTCAAAAGAAGCCAGTGCAGATGCCTTAAAACACAGCCAGAGGAGGATGTAGTGATGTAAAAACCTATTGGCATTTATTCAGGAAGCAAGCTTTGCTTCCTGCATCTCCAAGAAAGACTAAGTTGTGGTCTGGGCTAAAAGAGATGTTTTCAGCACTTAAAGTGGTGGATCTCATTAGTTAATTAAGTATACTGGAAAGGGAGATAAACCAATATGAATGGGGCATTGCACAGGGGCTGGTGCAGCAAGATGGGAGAAGACCTCAATTCTGGTCCCTATTCCAAAGGCTGCTTCCTCACCACGAAGTTCACAGAATCAAAAATGTTAGAAGGGACTTCTGGAGATCCCCCAACTCCTGCTAAAGCAGGCTCCCCAGAGCAGTCACACTGCAAAGCATCCAGGTGGGTTGTGAGTATCTCCAGAGAAGGAGACTGCCCCACCTCTCTGGGCAGCCTGTTCCAGAGCTCTGCCACCTCCAAAATGAAAATATTTTTTCTTACATTCATATGGAACTTCTGGGTTCCAGTTTGTGCCCGTTACCCCTCGTCCTGTCTCTGGGCACCACCAAAAAGAACCTGGCCGCATCCGCTTGCCTCCCACCCTGCAGACATTTCTAAGTGTTGCTCAGATCCCTCTCAGCCTTCTCCCCCCCACACTGAACAGCCCCAGGGCTCTCAGCCTTTCCTCACACAGGAGATGCTCCAGGCCCCGATCTCTCTGTAGCCCTCCTGGGCTCTCCCCAGCAGCTCCCTGCCTGCCTTGGTCTGGGCAGCCCAGCACTGGGCCCAGTGCCCTGGATGTGGGCTCCCCAGCGCAGAGCAGAGGGGAGAACAAGGTCCGCTCCGAGCCAAACCCGCACCAGCGCACAGCACTCCGCGCCGTCGCCATGGTTACCTTTATTGGGAGCGGCGCGGCGAACACGGCGCGCGCCCTGCGACAGCCGCGGGAACAATAAAGCTTCAACAACAGCCTCTCCCGCCCCCTTCAGCGGCGTTACGCCGCTCTACGCGCGCCGCCATCTTGAAGCGGCTGCGGGTTGGTTCCCGCGCCACGTGACGGAGGAGTCAGCGTGGCGGGGAGGCGCATGCGCGGTTCTGCTCGTTGCTCTGAGGGAGGTTGGGGGCAGTGGCGCTCAGAGGGCTCAGGGTGCGTTCAGTGGGAGCTTCCACCCGACCTGGGCAGGAGATACAGCCAGGGAGGATGTCAGGGCAGATGAAGCTTCCCTGTGTGTTGTACCAGATGGGGATCTTCTTTGAATTAGTTGTTGCACAGTGCCAGCTTGCACACCTGACAACTGCAGGGTGCTCTGCGTGCAGCTCTGGCAGGGCTCTCTGGAATGGGCTTTGAAATGGTGGAAGTAAAAGGGATTGGCCATATTTTGTGTGGAGAAAAAAAAAAAGAGAAAGGAAAGGGAGAAAGGAAGGTGGGGAGAAGGAAAGGGAAAGAGAAGGAAAGGGAAGGGATCATGAGACAGTGCAAAGTCAGGTATTGCCATTTGTGTTTTGATGCCTGGAGGAGGGCTATCTGCTGCCATCTATTGATAGATGGAGAAGAAGACCTAACGAGCCAACTCATTCGCATGAGCAAGTGTTAATTTCTGGATAAGTGCATAGGGCAGAGGGATAACAGCCTCGGCTGTGTAGCTTTGACACCAGGCTGTGTGTGAGCTGGTAAGGAGCAGCAGGTAGGCAGGGACTGGGGCTGTGTGTCCTGTCTACTGTCAAGCCTTCTCTACAGGGATGTGAATGAAATTCTGAGGCTGGCATGCGGTCAGGAAGATCATCTTGCAAACAAATGGGTATTAATTAAGAACCCATAATGTCATGATGAGATCTGCTCTGTTCTGGGGCCTCTGCACAATGCCAGAGATCCTCAGCTCTGAATGGCACAGCCTGCAATTGGGGCCATTAGGATACAAGTGGTATTGCAGCAGCAGGTTTCAAGGTCACTTCTGGAGGATGCAAGAAAGGCAGGCTTGGCTGTTTTCTGGTAGGATTACAGAGAAAGCCTCCTTGAGGAGATGCTCAGACTACAGTCCTTGCCAGCCTCGAGCAACAAGTTGTCTTTGTTAGAGCTGTCAATTCCAGCTCTGCCAGTTTTCTCACAAATGCATTTGCTGGTAGTTTCATAGAATCACATTAGAACCATGTGGGCTGGGAAAGATACTCAAGAGCATCGAATCAAACCACCAACCTGACCTAGCAAAACCCACCACTAAACTGTGTACCTTTGTGCCACAAGCACACATTTCTTAAATCCCTCCAGGGATGGGGACTCCAACCACTTCTCCGGGCAGCCCATTCCAATGCTTGACCACCTTCCATCTTGAGATCTAATCAGTGGGGAAGGAACTTGCAGCACTGGCACTAAGATGGCATCCAGTGATGCATGAGTGTTTGGCTTACTGTCTGTGAGCCTGTCTGTATGGTATCTGCTTTGTGCCACAGTACTTCTGGAGAACATCTGGAGCTGCCATGGGATAGCAGCTTTTCACAACTGAGATTATAGAGAGGAGAAAACTGAATGCCCATTGCTGCCCAGTTTAAAGCAAAAGTGATGAGGGGATGGCTGAAATCAGCTCTAGAGCTTCTAGAAATGAAATGCATGTTTGGCAGTATCTGATTCAAGACTGGCTGACAGGATGACAGCATCCTGCTGACAGAGCAGCTACAGTCTCCTGCCTTGGAGGTGATGGATAGTTTGTAGAGATGACAGAGCATGATGAGAACTGATGGATGAGAGCAGCAAGTATCTGGCTTCAGGGAAACTAGACAGGCTTTCCCCAAGGGCTGAAGGAGGATGGTTAGAGGGGACAGTCCTGTGATTCTCTGGTTAAGGGACAAAAACATAACAACTCAGGCTTCTTCATCTGCTTGTTTCTGTCCCCTTTGCTGCTTCACTCAAACGATTTGGGTGCCATGCATTGCAAATTAAGCCAATGTTGTGTTTCAGGCGAAGAATAATCTCCCCAGTTGAGGAAAAAGGACAAGAAAATAGGAACAAGAACAGTATCCTCATATACCTTTTTCAGTTGCCATCACAGTAACCCTCTGTTGTCTCTTGGAA